CATTGGCTGAGGCTGGGCGGGCGTGGTGTCTGTTTCTAACAGCTCCCAGGTGAGGCGTCCAGGGGCGCAGTTGAGTGGCCCTGGACTGGCGTGTCTGTCTCACTCCCTTTATCCTGTTTCGCCGTCATCACTGATATCATTGCCATCCATTTAAAAGTAGCACATTTATTGCACGCTTAGTTGCCAAGCACTGTACTGGGCGTGTGTTTAGCCTACAAAAGTGTATGAGTGCCAGGGGCTATAATAGGTACTTTCACGTGGTACAAAACATGCAAAGCTCCTCACCCCTAGCATTGACCTTCTGGTCAAGAAGGAAATTTAAAAGGTAAATAAGTAAACTACAAAAGGAAAGTTCACTTTAAATCCAGGAAGTTCTCACCAAGGTGACATTTAAGCCGAGTTTGAGAGAGAATTGATTTCAGGTAACCCAAGGTCTCACGATGCCCCTTCCTTTGTGTCCCTCAGAGCCGCTTTGGCCCCCGCCTTCACATGGGCATTGGCCTACAGCCACGTATCTCCCTTGGCCTCATGTCACCGAACAACGCCCAGTACCATCAGGATGAAATGCAGATTCCTTGGCACAGTGGGAATTCGAGGCTCCTGTTAACGGTTTTCCAGCCCCGCAGAACCTCTGCCACCCACACACCCCACCCACTTTGTCTCCATGCTTCAGCTGTTTTGGATTAGAACTTGTCAACTACCTACTTTGTCTCCCAAACATATCACCAACACCCCTGTCCTGTATCCTTCCCTTTTGCACAAGGCGGGGCATCTTTTGCCTGCCGTAGGGGGAGCCATCCACCGCCCCCTGCAGGGCTGCTCTTCAGCACCTGTCCTCTCCCACCTCTGGATGTCCACCGCCTTTCTCTCCTCAGCTCTGTCTCAGCAAGGCATTCCCTGTCGGCAATGTCATCTGCGTTTTTCTCCGGGGCCTCTGGCTGGCTACCCTTCCCGTGCTGGGAAGAAAAAGGCCCTTACACTTACATCACTTCCTCACCTGAGGTTCATTCCCTGACCCACTGCAATCCGGTGCCTGGCTACAGATGTAGAAACAGGCACAGAAAAGTTAAGCTGCCCAGGATTGCATAGCATAAGAGGCGGCAGGGCCGGGACTCAAATCCAGCCAGCCTGGCCCCAGGGTGTATGCTTGTAACCAACACACCCTCCAACCCCTCCTCCACCTTGAGAGGTGGGGATGATGGTTTTCCCCGACACAGAGGAGGAAACCAACCAAATTGCTCTGTCACATGCAAGTATCAACAAGCACCTCCTTTGTGACTGCCCTAAACATATTTAGGAATACACAAACAGGGACAGCCTACAACCTGTTGGTCTGTAGTGTTCTTTGCCAAGAACAGTTAATCCTCATATCCTCACAGAGGTAAGCAGCATAGGGCTTTTGACCTTCATTTCTCCCAGCAGGAGGTGGCCTGGGACACAAAACCAGGGCTCCCCACACCCAGGCTTCAGCCTTTGGCCACAACTCCCAGATCCTGCAGATATTTGACTCAGGGTGTGGCAGATGGACAGGTATCAAATGCTGGCTGCTATCTGACAAATCATGGCTTTTAGGACTGGAAGGGGTCTAGTGACCCATGGGATGATTGGATTAGAATGACGAGATTAGTCAGCTCTGCCAGGCACCATGCTAAGCTTTACTGGTACAGCCTCTGGCCTCCTTTGTTCGGCAGAGCTGCACAGCCCGAGGCCCGTTTGCTACGGTTTTCTGCCGCTCAGTCGAGGAATAGCCCAGTGCGCTCTTTGGAGAGTCTGAGCAAGAGAGTGTCAGGGAAGGAGGAAGGTCCTGTTGGATACTCGAGGAGTTTAATGTTCTGCCTTCCAGTGTGCAGGCTTTGCTGAGCTGTGGTTACACAGCCTGGCTGGAGTCCACTGACCTGCAGAATGTCCCCAGGAAGCGCTGAGGGGAAGAGCAGTACCAGGCCCACAGCTGGGGACAGTGAGCGCGTCACCGAGGCTCCCGGAGCCTCCTTCGTTCCCTGACCACCTGTGGGTGATCTGAGGCTCACTGAGATAAACTGTGAAGTGGGAGGCCCCTCTGACCTGTGACCGGTGCTGCTGTCAAAAGGACCGGTTTATCTTAGCCCAGCTCCTTTGCCTCCAGGCTCTGTCATCTTTCCCATCCCTTTGACCTTGGGTCCAGATTCATGGGCCATTTAATGCAACCGATCTTCCCTGAACCACCAGGGAGGTGCTTGGTGGCGCTTGGTGGCGCTTGGTGTTGGGGCGGGGAACCCAAGTGAAGAAAAAGGTAGGGCTGTCCATGGTCCTGTGGCCCTTGAGCCAGTGTCAGGGGAAGACAGCCGGCCTGAGAGAAGGCAGCTTTCGCAGGAAGGTCCCTGTTCCTTTTTGTTCTTAACCTACGTATACATGGAAAAGGCCAGTGTGTGATGAGTTTTCACAAGGTGGACATACCCGTGTCACCACTATCCCGCTCTAAAGACAACAGGTCTTAGCCCCCTCCCAGCCTCCACCACCCCTCTCCTGACTTCTAGCACCATGTATAGGCTGTGCCTAGTTTTGAACTTGAAATAACTGGAATCGGGCTTCTTTCACTCGGTGCCGTGTGTGTGCGATTCATCTTGTGGATGTTCGTAGCTGTAGCTGGTTCATTCTCAGTGCTGGGCGTAGAATCCCAACAAGATCGCAACAGCTGTACTTTTGGGGTTTGTTTTGTTGCTGTTGTTTTTGGTAACTAGCCATGTTTAAAAAGCCTTAGCCCATGTTACAAACACAAAACATTTAGAGTACTATTTATGAATGCAAGCATAATTGATTTTTTGGCCTTCTATACATAATCATCTGTGAAATGCTAGAAGTTGAGTTCCCACTGTGATTCTGACAGTAGTCGATGTTCGTGTGGCCCAAACCGCCATGCTTCCTGGTGTGTTGATCCAGGTAAGACGGCTGCGGTGGGGATCCACCAACACTGCAAGGACTTCGCAGTTCTCACCGGGAAGCTCGGTGGCTTTGTCACGAAAAGCAATAACCTCTGGCCTGGCCGGTGTGGCTCAGTGGTTGAGCATCGACCCAAGAGGTCATTGTTTCGATTCCTGGTCAGGGCACATGCCCAGGTTGTGGGCCTGATCCCCAGTGGGGGGCATGCAGTAGGCGCGACGTTCTCTCTCATCGATGTTTTTCTTTCTCTCTTCTCCCTAAAATCAATAAAGAAGGGAAAAAACAGCAATAACCTCTGTAGGACACACCAAGGTGAAATCCGAAGGATAGCAGAAGAGCGCCAAACATTTCCCCTTAAAGTCACCCCGGCTTAGTTGCTTGAACTCGGCGTTGACATCATGCTGGGTGTCAATGGGCACGGGGCACGAGGACCCTGGCGGGACCGGCAGCAGACCGACCGCAGTGCAGTTGTCAAGCGCCTTCCTCGGGAAGCAGCAGGCCTGTGGGCGGAGAGGCCGAGATGCCCCAGGCGCTCACAGTCAGGCAACAGGGTCCTGGAGCAACCTGCCCACGTGCTGCGCGTCCAGGGGCGGAGGGGGGAGGGGAGGACCCGGAGCCAAGGCGGGGAGTGAGAAGCAGAGGAGACAGGGCCTGCGGGCCGGGGCTGGAAAGCCAGATGTCTTCTGACCAGGGCATGGGGTCAGTTTCCAGCTTTGGGTGTGTTATCCAAGTTCCAGTCCGTGTCTCTGGGTGGGCTCATGTGCATTTTATTTGGGGTGTAGACCTGGAATGAAATCACTGGCTCGCAGGTGTGCATTTGTTCAGCTCTGGTAGATGCCAGCAGGTTGTTGAGCAGGTTGTTAGGGAGAATTCCCAGACCCCAAAGTTCATGGCCAGCCAGCCCGTGCCCCAGAGGGGAGGGCTGTGAAACTTGCTCTGAAGAACGAAGGAAGATGCTGGGTTAGCTGCCCTTGGGGTGGGTGGGGCGGGGCCATCCTCGGCTCCTTTCTGGTGGGTTTTGGTCCCTCTCCTCAGCCTGGGGCTTCCAGGCTGTACTCCCTCCGGAGAGGTGTTGGGGCCACTTGGGAGGGAAGGAGGGGGGCTTCGAGCCTGCTTCTCTTCTCCCCCCAGGCATTCCGTGCCTTCATGTGTTTCTGAGAGAGTTTTCTTTTTTATCTTCACCTGAGGACATTTTTTGCATTTATCTTCCGATAGAGCGCGAGGGAGGGAGAGAGGAAGAGAGAGAAACATCGATGTGAGAGAGACACATCGAGTGGTTGCCACCCACATGACCCCAACCAGGGCCAGGGACGAACTGCAACCGAGATATGTGCCCTTAACGAGAACCGAATCTGGGCCTCTCTAGTCCACGGGTCGAGACTCTTACCCCTGAGCCAAACCAGCCAGGGCGAGGTTTTTCATTCACTGTTTGCAAGTGCACTGCTCTAAGGTCCCCTGCAGCTGAGAAATTCTGTTTGGGAGCAGGAGGTGGGTGTGGGAAGGGTTAAACGTTATTCAGCCCAAGAGCCGGGTTGGGCCTTTTAAAGCTCTTGCAGCTTGGTTTGCAGTGCGGGAGATCTCGTAACGTTCTATAAAAATAGTGCTCAAACAGAACTTCCAAAGCCTAGGATGCAGGGACAGGCTTTGCTCTGGGGGACATCTAGGTGGCATTGCTGCGACAGGCTCGAGGACACTACTTCCCCCACCCCTCTGCGTGTAGTGAGATCACCTATTTTTACTTCTCTGCTGGCTGTGCCTAGCAGTAGTCTCTTGGGGTTGTTTGGGTTCGGGACAGGTCCTATTTTCGCCAAGGAGTGGGTGACTCGGGCAGCCTGTGCGTCCCTCTGTGGGGCTGTGGCCTTCCCTCCTCGGACAGCAGGCCGAGTTTGGACCCGTGGTTTCACTTGATGGAGGAGGCCGGGCCGTTCGTGCGCCCGGAGAGAGTGGCGCGGCCCTGGCGTGTAGGTCTGAGCCAACAGGCCTGATAAGCAGCCCACTTCCCGGGGCAGGCAAGGAACAAAGCCCCTGGCTGCTCTGGGGTTTGTCTCCCCGACTCCTGAAACAGCTGTTTATTCTTTTGACAGGAATTGGACCACAGCACCTTCCCTTCCTCCCAGCCCTGCCTCCGTCTGCAGAACAGAGCTCAACAGAACTTTGTTGTTTTGCCTTTTACTCTGGGGGGAGAGAAGCAGACGATGAGGTATGTGAAATGTTGAAATGATTTACTTCTGCCTTGTCGGGGTCACTGGGGGGACTGTGAGCGGGCTGCGGTGCGGATCTACCTGGGGGAGGACGTCACGCTCCCCTAGCCTCTTGCTGGCCCCCCTCGGGAGTTCTGGAAGAAGCCGAAGTCCCCCCCCCCGCATGGGATCTGGAAGTGGGAGCTGGCAGGATGTTGGCTCAGGGACGTCACTGTAAATTCCGCTGCATTTGCTTCCCCTGGCTGGACCTCTCGGGGCTGTGGCCGCGACGGGGGCTTTCTCTGCAGCATTCAGAGTGACAGCGCAGGGGCCACGTTGTGGGTGGATGCGGAGCCCTCTCCGGGCAGTATCTCCTTTGTTTACCTTACCTTATTTATCTTGGAAAACCCTTGCGCAGGGTCTGGGCCAGGCGGCAAGGCAGAGCTGGCTGGATCCAGGCCTCACTCTCCTGAAGGCCACTTCTGGCACGACCAGAGGTACCCGGAGGACAGGTCATTCGTCGTCCTGTGACGGCTGGAGCGACCCTGGCCGTGCGTTTAGTCTGAGACGTGTCTGTAGGTTTCCTCCGTCTGCGTTACCCTGACCCTCCTAATGAAGAACACCGCTGGAAACAGCCTTCCGCGTGCTCTTCCCCCTCAGGAATTGGACCATGTTTCTTTCAGTGGGGAGCATCTCCCTGTAACACCCACCGATTGATTGATTGACTGATTGATTTAAAAATTGATGGATTGAGTTTAGAGAGTGAGAAAAATATCTATTTGTTTTTCCACATATTTACACATTTATTGGTTGATTCCTGTATGTGCCCTGAGCAAGGATCGAACCCAAAACCTTGGCATATCAGGACGACACGCTAACCAAATGAACTACCCAGCCGGGGATTACACCCACCAATGCAGAGTTTTTGGGTAAAACAGCACTCTCCCTCTTCGCCTCCAGCATCAGCCCCCTGCCAGGAGCTGGGCCTGGGGGTCTGAGGGTCTGCTTTTCAAAGGGGCATCCCCTTCTGGGTGAGCCCTGCCGTCTCAGCCTGCGCCGAAGCTAGGGTTCCTCGGGGAAGAAGCTGCTGCACTGACCGTGATGAGGGATGAACGGGGGGCGAGCGAGGAAGAGCCGCACCAGGCACAGGAGGTACCAGAATGGCCAGAGCCAGCTCACCAGCTGGTCGGCGAGGAAGCCAGCCCCTCAGCGAGGCCTGTGAGTGGCCAGCTTTGAGAGGCAAAATCCGAGATGTCCCTAAGAGATTCAAATGATCGGTCCGTGGGTAAGCCCTTGTGTTCTGAGAACAGAGCGGTGGAAGTGGTGGGCACCGGAGGCCCATGGTGTGTGACCCTGGGCAAGTTACTTAACCTCTCTGAGCCGCTGCTTTCATGGCATTAAAATGAGGATGATTCCAGAGGGACTTCACAGGTTTGGTGTGAAGCTTCACTTGAGAGACTGCTGGTGACGCGTTTAGCCCAGGGCCTGGCTGGTTCAGTTGGGGGCATCCAAGTGCTGTTAGGGCCTGAAGCTTCCTCAATTTTCAGGGCCCTCTTTAGAAAAGAAATGCAAAGTTGCAAATATAGTGTTAGGCATGGAAATGGATACAGTTAACTCTTGAACAGCATGGGTTTGAACTGCGTAGGTCCACTTATACATGGATTTTTTTCCAATAAATACTGTAAATATATTTTCCTTATGATTTGCTTATTTTCTTTTCTCTAGCTTATTTTATTGAAAGAAGGCAGTAACATACAAATATGTGTTCACTGCTGTTTATGTTATCGGTAAGGCTTCTGTCCACTGTAGGCTATGAGTAGCTACATTTTGGGGAAGTCAAAAGTTATATGCAGATTTTCAACTGCAGGGGGGTCAGCACCCCTCATCCCTGCATTGTTCAAGGGTCAACTGTATTTAGAATATGAGCAGACATCACAACAAATAACAAAAACTTGACAGATCCTCCAAATAGGACAAAACCCAGAAAACAGCATCATAATAAAATGATGTGAAAATAATGTAAAGATGATTAGCATCGCTTGTGTGTCTAATGTACCTGTCATATTCTGGCTGCACACACTTTTGTAGTGTCAGTTTGAATGGAGACAAAAGAAAGACAAATCAGTCCTGCCTCTAGCGGCGGTTCATCATCGGTGGCTGCTTTTATTACTGAGAGCTTAGAGAAGTTCCCTTCGGCTTCACAACTTGTTATTGGCGGTGCTCCATCTGTACATCTTGTGGCAGTTTCTTGCTCAGGTGGCTCTGGCCAGAGCACCAGAGAGTCCAGCTCTTGGTCCCGGGTGGGGTGGGAGGTGGCAGTGTCCTGGTCATCGTGACCCTGAGCAGGGAGCAGAACAGCATCTATGTAACGTTAGGCTGATCTCTCACCCACGTCCTGGGTTAGCCTGTCATGGAAGGTTAAGTCTGAATGACTCGTTTCAGGACGGAGAGTCTAAGGCCAGAGAAACCGTGGCAGTGAGCCTCAGCTTCCTTCCCTCCCAACTCAAGTTCCGGGCCGTGGGGCAAACAGGATGAGTGGCTGGGCCCCGAGTCGTGGGGCGGGGGGCTGACCATCACAAAGTCACCGTGGGCGTGGGGTGGGCTTGTCCTTGAGCTTCTGTGAGGTGCTGCCCTGGGCACCCACATGCCTCTCTCAGATGAAGCCTCATCCCTGCCTTCAGAGCCACACATTCAGGGGTGGCCATCACTGTGGCCCCCTCCCGTGGAGCATATACTGACCGCTGGCATAGTGCTTCATACTCGGTCTCCTTTTGTTTTTCTTTTTCTTTTTCTTTATTGATTTTAGAGAGAGGAAGGGAGAGGGAGAGAAAGAGATAGAAACATCGATGAGAGAGAACATTGATTGGCTGCCTGCTGCATGCCCCCCACTGGGGATCAGGCTCACAACCTGGGCATGTGCCTTGACCGGGAATCGAACCTGCGACCTCTTGGTGTATGGGTCGACACTCAACCACGGAGCCACCCTGGCCGGGCACGTGGTCTCCTTTTGAACTTTCAGGTCCCCCAGAGGAGGGTGCTTGGTGCTGCGTTTTGTATATGTCAGTACAGGCTCAGAGCCGGAGAATTTGCCCAGGACCCACTGCCTGGATGGCTGATGTAAGAGCCCCCAGCCTCATTTCTCCCTGCAGTGGAGGGCATGGGGACAGAGGACAGGACCTTTGTCCAAGGTCTTTAATACCCAGGTCTGCGCCCTCCCTGCCCCTCACCTATTTACACACTTGTCACTCAGAGTCCTTGACCCCATCTCACTCGTCCAGGAGTGACTGAGGCTGGAGCTGGCAGGGGCGGCTCCTGGGAGCAGGGGACGGGGACCGGTGCGGGGGAGGGACCACGGCCCAGGGGAGGCTTCCTCAGCTGCAGGAAGGTTTGGCTTCCTCTGCCACTGCTGTCCCCTGCAGATTCCGGCTGCCAGACATAATGGCTTTTCCAGGGCTTCTGAGCCGAGGCGTTCACCTTCCCCGACATGAGACGGAGAAAACAAGGTCCGCGGTCCACTCGAATTCCTTTCGGAGAGGATTTCTGTTTGGGAGGAACGCCTTCACTCAGCCTAGACCAGAGTGTGTGTGTGTGTGTGTGTGTGTGTGTGTGTGTGTGTCGTTCTGTGTGGGGCTGGCTGGGGGTGGGTAAGGAAGAATTAATTTATGAACCACGTGGAAAAGTCTGATACTCCAGGGAAATAGAGGCGGAAAAGGAAGAGGAGGAGGGTGACGTGGGGAAGGTGGAGAAATAACAGGCTTTACTAGGTGACCCTGCCCTTAGACAGGGTCTAAGTACAATGTGCTTGTGTTCCCGGAGGGGCGGGGGCTGTGGTTTCATCTGGGATGCTGTGCCGGGGCTGAGCTCTGGGAGTGGCCCAGGAGCAGCCTGCTGGGAGGGAGGGTGGATTCAGAGAGAACCCAGGAGCACGGGGCAAGAGGGCCTGGGCGATGTGGGGACGCTGTGGTGGGACTGGGTGTGGCTGAGTACACCTGTCCTCTGAGGGGTGGGGGCCAGGTGACCCAGTGACAGGCTCCGCCGTGAGGCAGGGTGTTGATTGGCAGTCCTCATTCCGTGTTCTACCCCTTAAATGGGGGATTTAGAAGCAACCCCAGGTTTCCTAGTTGGCGGCTCAGTGAGTCAACCACCCATCTTCAGAATTACACAGTTCTGAAAATTCGAAGAGACAAACACATAACAGAAAGACTTTTAGACCACGCTGGCTGCCAAATGCCTCATTTTTTTTTGTCCAGAGAGAAACATAAAAGTGTTTTAAAAGACTCGTTGGCCGCCCTGCCAACCCTTCCTTCTCCGGAGACGTGCATTCCAGATCGCAGGAAGCGTGTCTCCACCCGTTTCTCCTGAAGGATGTGACACTGGCTCACTTGGCAGCTGCCAATCGGAAGTCTCCCACCAGAGTGACGACTGGCCGATGCAAGCGATCTGTGAAGTCCAGAAAGAAAGGGTCTCCAGGAATTGTTTCTGATGCCAGTTTCTGAAACGAAAATCATCAACACAGTGCGTGGAGAGGAGATCAGGAGATATGTCTGATCCGGCTCGCCTGATGTGAGCCCCGTGCTCTCCACCGCAAGAGTTGGCGTGTTTCTCCGTTTCACGTGTCTTACACTGGGAGACAAATCGCATGGATTCTCAGCAGGTGGGGATGATCAAGCCCGGGACGCACATCGGGCAGTGTGGTGGCCTCAGCACCGGCAGGGGGTTGTAGCAGGAGCTCCTCAAGGGGCTGTTGTAGAACAGGTGATGCACCTTGGAGTCCGAATCTGCATCTCCCTGCACTTTGTTGCCTCGCATGTTCTTATCCCGAAACCCTTATTCCTCTGCATCAAAGCTGCTTGGAGCTCTTGCTAAATGCCGGGCACTGTGCTATCTCCCTGGGTCCCCCCAACAGTCTGTTTTATGGATACCAGTAATAAGAACCAACCTTTTTTTTCTCTTTTTTTTGCACATTCATATGGTTCCGGGCGCAATGCTAAATATTTTATGAACCTTATCTTTTGCAATCATGGCCATTTTCATCCCCATTTTAGAGACAAGGAAATCAATTTAATAGGATCCGTTACAGGTCCATAATCCCTTTTCTGAAGCCCTCGGGCCTGGAATGAGGAATTTTTCCCATGTGGATTACATATCATGTATTATGTAACACACTCAGTGTAGCAGCACCAAACAAAAAAAATGCATCAATATTCATATAAACATTTAGACAGTCTCGATAAGTGGGATAAGGATTATAGTCTCCTGTCAGTTAGGGCCGTGATGCCAATTGAATGACAAAAAAAGGTTTTATGGTTTTCGGTGCTTTTTGGAGACGTGGATGAGGGCCTGCCACGTGTTCAGGGTTACCCGGCTTAGTGTGTGTCCGCCGGGACCCCAGGCTCCGCCTCATTCCAGAGCCCACGTGTGTGAGCACCACCCACACTTCTCTGGGAGTGAAGACTGCAGCATGGAGCAGTAGCCATAGTCTCAATCCGGAAGTGTTTGCTCCCAGACCCAGGACCCTTCTAGCACTCCATGCTGGTGCTACTGATGTGCACTTAGGTGGCTTTTCCAGCAGAGAGGCTCAGTTCCAAGCGGTTGCATTTTGTGACTTTGCCATGGCCCTAGACCGTGTGTGCCAGCCAGCCATAAGGTACTCAAAGGGAAGACACTCAGACTGAGGTTGACACCGGGCCCCTCAGGCCCATCTTCCTGCACCTGTGGAATACCACCGACCCTCGGTCCATCTGAAAGCTGTTGAGCTGGGACCTTGGGTCCAGCCCTGGCTTTTCTGTTTCCAAACAGTGCTCTTTCTAAGCAAGGGGGACTAGAGTGTCGTGGCCGATCCTGTTCTCTCTGTTCTTTAACTGAATTTCTCATAAAGGCGACGTAGCACATGAGATCCAAGACTGGAATTCTCTGAGACCTTCTTTGAAAAGAATTGCACGATATCTTATTCCCTGAAAGGACAAATTTCATGTCATTTTCATTTTATTTCATTCACTCACCAAACCCTGATAGAGGGCCTCATCTACCTGTGCGGGGCACTGGCCATTCGGGGTTGACGGGCATGTCCCTCCTGCCCTCAGGAAGCTCAGACCCACCTGTGGAGGAGACAGACCCACGGGAGGATGTTCCCACGTGGGCCACCTGCCCAGGCCCTGTGCAGAGTGTGAATGGGGTGATGGGGGCGCCAGAGCAGAGGAAGGGTCTCCGCTGGTGGTCAGGGCAGGGCTGGGGAGTGGCTTCACAAAGGTAGCGACTGATGGAGGGCACAGCTGGCCACGCTCCTCTGGGCTTCCGGCGTCCACCCTCCTGGTTCTCCTCCTACCTCCAGGCCTGTCCGTCTCATCTCCTCCTCTGTCCTACCTCCAAATGCCACCTCAGCCCAGGGCCCTTTTCCTTACTTTTTCTCTCTCTGCATCCTCTCCCTAGGTCGTGGAATTCAATTCCTTCACCTTAAAACACTGTCCGTGTGGATGACATCTCCAGTTGCGTGTCCTGCACACATCTCTCTGTTGCACTTCAGACCTGAATTTCTTCTTGCCTACCCGTCCTCTCCATTTAGGTGTTCATACACTCCTCAGAAGCAGCACGTCCGAAAGGGAATCATGACTCTCATCCCCAGACCGGGGCCTCCTCCGGCCCCCTCCAGCCCCCTGAGGAGATGGCACAGCCTACCTGCTTCAGCAGACACCTTGCTTCTCCCCTCCCCCAGCCCTGACGCCTGCATCACCAGCCAAATCCTAGTTCTCTCTCCGAAGTACAGGAATTAATCGACTTCTCGCCACCTCCTCTGCCAGCTTTTCAGCCCAGGCCACCTCTTCTGTTCAGCCACTGGGGTAACCTGCCACCTCACTTCCTCATGTCTGCCCTTGTCTCCACATTCACCCCCCCCCCCCAGCACTCCCGGCCCCAGGGGGGGGTCTCTGAATGAAGTCGGATCAGGTGATGGCCCAGCTTTAGATGTGGGTCCCCCCACCCCTTTCTACACCTTCCCAGACTCTGCCCTGCCCGCCCCGGCCTTGTTCCAGCTGCTCAAGTCAGAGAGCTCTATGTTTTCTTGTTCAGGTTGTTTGCTTTTGTCTTTTTTTTTTCAAACACAGGAAGCTTTTTCTCCTGTCGGCCTGTCAGAGATGCTGCTCCCAAACAGCCTCATCCCTCCTCACGGCACGCTTTTCACCCTTCCCAGCCTGTCCTCATTCCTGGGGAAGCTTCCGTTACTTCCCCGCGAGGCCTTCCCCGACCACCCGAGTTCAAGTACTTCCCAGCCTGCTCTCCCCGCCCGGCACCCCTCCCCCCTCGACCGCAGTCAAGACACCTTGGTGTGCTGCTGGGCACCAACTGCTGGCAGGCTGTGGGTGTGGAGGCCAAGCGGGTGGGGTGGGAAGTGGGCGAGCCTAGACTGTCGAGGACTGTGTGGTTTCCTTCTCCGAGCAGCGGGCCTGTAGTCCGCGTATCAAGGGAAGCAAAGCTAGGAAATGAGTGGTTCCTGCAGGTGGTTCTGAGTGCGGGCAGCTGGCGGCCATGGAAACCACTTATAGTTACTCCCTCCCGCGTCCCCATCCACGGCGGACCTCATGACCATGCAGGTACTTTCCCCTCTGAATCCCAGAGTGGCCTTAGCATCCTTCCCAACACAGGAGCCCTGTCAGTTCATCGAACTGGCCTCATCTGCAGGCCTGTGCAATTTAAGGTAGAGTGCACTCCTTAGCGGTCGTTAAATATTCATGAACATTTCATTGTAGAGACGATATACGTGGACGCATTTCTGGAAAACCATATCTTGCTCTGGATATATTGAGCTAATTTTTCTCCTCTTTTTTTATTTTCCCAGGACAAAATAATGAATGTCAAAGGAAAAGTGATTCTGTCAATGTTGGTCGTCTCAACTGTAATCGTTGTGTTTTGGGAATATATCAACAGGTAATTATGAAACCCGATGACAGGATGTTGATGAGACTGACTCCCGTCTCCTAGTTAGTATTGGCCAAGTCACCGGGTTGAATTGAAGGCAGACGTAACTGAAACCATAAAGAAGAGACTCCACCCTTCCCGTATCCTTGAGCCCTGAACTGTCTTTAAAAGCATTAGCGCTCCAAGGACCTTCTGGCTAATTCACTGTCTTCTTTTCTGCCTTGTCCGAATGCCAAGATTCTTGTCCTTCTGCCGTTCTGGGCAGGCTAGCTTCAGAAACAATAAGGTCTTATTAAGCCCAAAATGTAATTTTAAATTTTTCGTGTGGCTAGATATAGAAATCACCTTAAGGAATTCCAAGCACAAATTGCGTGAGAAACCCACCCCTGGTTTTTGCAATCCTGAGATAGCTGCGGAGCTTAAAGGAGCAACTCGAGTTGTTGACTTTTGCTGCAAAACACGCTTGAGCCGCGGGTGATTCATCTGTGCCTGGCTGCAGCTTTTCTTTTTTCTTTCTCTCTTTTTTTTTTTTTTTAACTCTGGAAAGCACAGTGAATTAAACATTCCTGAGTGCATTCACCCAAGAGCTGCTTCTGTGCTTTTGGAAACTGCAATGCCTCGGAGGTTCCAGCTGGAGAGGCTTCTGACGGAAAGAAGGCTCCGCTAGCAGCTGCAGAAACGCACGGTGCCGTTGCCCTCAGAGGCACCGGTGCGACTGGTCCAAAGAGTGGGCTCTGCAGCCGCGGCGGGAGAGCTGGGCGCCGCCGCTATCCTCATGGTGAAGGTTTCAGGAGCGCCCCGTTCACAGTGGCGGCCCGGACGAACGTTCGACTGTCTACTGATCCTTAAATGTTAAGATTTGATGAGCTTGGCTACTAAAAAAGGAACTGCTCCTTGAGGTCCATCGATAGAACAGTGGCTCTGGAATTTGGGAGCCGTGTTCCCCCCGGGGTGCTGCAGAGATCTGACCGCTTCTGGAGCGTCATTCTGTTTCATCCTGAGCAATGCCTTGTAAGAAAAACAAGATGAGCGTGACCAGGTTAGAGAGGTCTACAGACTAGGTCTTTCAAATTGAGGAAACTGGGGGTACTTAGTCCAAAAAAGAAAAAGGGTGCGAGTTGGGTGAAGGGACCCCACGCCTCCCTTGAATACTCCAGGGCTGAGTCTGGAGCTGGGCTGCCTGGGGCTGCACCTGTGCCCCCACTTACTTCCTCTGTGACCTTGGGCAACTGTCTGTAAACGTGGGGATGGTAATAGTACCTGCCGCCTAGGATTGTTGGGAGCCTTAAATAAGATGTGTATAAACCATTTAGGGCAATGTCTGGCACTTAACAAGCACTCAAGCGATGCTAGCTGCCATGTTCATCATCTCCCTCGTCGTCACCGTCACCGTCGCCCTCTGCTCAGAGGACAGACTAGGACAGGGCATTTGGGCAGATAGAAGGGAGAGCTCCAGCATTCGGAAGAATCTGATAGAACAAGTGCCCTGTGAGGGTCCTGCCCGGGGTGAGGTGCTTGTGTGGATGACCTTCAAGCTGAGAGTGCTTGATTGGATAATCTTGGGGTTTCGAATTGCAGCCAGAGTTGTGCTTCCAGATTTTGGGTGGTTCACAGAATTAACATCTGGGAGCCAAAGGCACAAATGTGCATGTTGGCACTGGCCTTCCATAAAGAGGGGCATTTTGCTGTGCTGGGCACTGCCCTTCCTCAGGAGCTGGGGCTGCCCCTCAGGGCCGCGTGGCACCCAGACCGTGGCCACATCATTCCTCAGTGTGAGGAATCCACTCGAGTGCCTGGCGAGGGGCTTCAAAGGCAGCAGCGCCTTGGCCACCCTGTGAACTGGCTGTGTGAGGATCTGGGGTGAGCCGAGGGCATTCGTCCTAGACAGGGCTAAGATGCTAAAAGGGATTTTAAAATAACTCCACCAAACACAGCAGCCGGTGAGTAAATAGAACTGGTCAGCAGAGCATCGGAAAGAATGCCATCGAGGACAGCGTTCAGTGTGAGACTGGCTGGAGAACAAAGCTTAGAACTGGAGAGCTGGAGGAAACGAAAAGTTATGGTAAAAGAATGATGATGGTGCCCTGGCCGGTTTGGCTCAGCGGTTAGGGTGACGGCCCGCGGACCAGAGAGTCCAGGGTTCGGTTCCTGCTAAGGGCACGTACCTCGGTTGCCGTTTGGCCCCAGCCCTGGTTGGGGTTGTGTGGGTGGCAACTACTTGATGTGTCTCTCTCACATCAATGTTTCACTCACTCTCTTCCTCTCTCCCTCCCACCTCCCACTCTATCTGAAGATGAGTGCAAAAATGTCCTCCGGTGAGGATTTAAAAAAAAGAATGATGGTGGTGGTGACGATTACGAGGACAGCAGCTAGTCATTGAGTGTTTGTGTCCCTGGAACTGTGCTGTGCATTTCCTCCAGCTCTTACAATGGCCCTGCGAGGGAGGTAGTCGCCCAAAGTTCTGGACAAGGGAGGAACAGCGTGTCCCCGAAGCTCTGAGCTGGACGCACATTAGGCTCTGTAGTCATTTTATTCTCTGCAGGAAGGTAAATCCTGGGAGAAGGATGGCTGGGCCGTTGTGTTCCTGAGGAGGTGACAGGAGGGAACCCATCTATGAGCCTCTCCCCCTTGTTGAAGCCACAATGAAAAGCTGTTGTTTTTTTTTCACTAAGATCTGAGTCTCCGGAGACTTCCTTGTTCTGGGTAATACTGAGGTGACTGCAGTCTTCCCAGGCTCCTGAGATCACTGGTTATATCTCAAAGGGAGGTGGAGACCGAGGAGTAGCCAAAACCAGGCTCTCAACTCAGCCCGGGCCTTCCATGACAATGGTTGCAAAATAGCTTTTTTCTGAATTAAAAGTAACGTGATCTGTTTTTCTTTCCTGTTTGCTTTTAGCCCAGAAGGCTCTTTCTTGTGGATATATCACTCGAAGTAAGTGCTTTGAACTCTCAGTGTCTCTGGGATGTCTCCCATGCTCACTCCTGCGCCTCCTACCGCCCGCTGTTACCATGGCAGCTGGTGGGGGAGCTCTGGGCAGAGGGGGAGGCAGAGATGGGTCCAGGGATCTGGGCAGCATGCCTCCGGCCTCCCAGACAGGCTTCATGTCTCATGAAGGGTCTCTTTAAGTGGGGTCATTTGGAGAACATTCCTGCCTTCCTAATAAGAGTCAGGGTAGATATTGTCCCTTCTGCTACCTGGCATATGTTGTATAAAGAGTCTTGCAAGCTCTGGCCGGTTTGGCTCAGCAGTTAGAGCGTTGGCCCGTGGACCAGAGAGTCCCGGGTTCAGTTCCCGCTAAGGGCACGTACCTGGGTTGCAGTTTGTCCCCGGCCCCATTGGAGTCGTGTGGGTGGCAACCACTCGATGTGTCTCTCTCACATCAATGTTTCTCTCTTCCTCCCTCTCTCCGTCCTGCTCTATCTGAAGATAAATGTAAAAATGTCCTTGGGTGAGGATTTAAAAAAAAAAAAAAAAAAAAGAGTCTTGCAAGGCACTTCTTTGAGACAAAGGATCATGATGAAAGTCTGGGACTCTGATGAACTGGTGGATGTATTATTATTATTGTCACTGCCAGTAAGGGCTACGTGAGTCTTCAGTTCCCTGTCTTCTGCTCGGTTGCCAGGAAACTCAGAGCAAAAGGCCCTTGTACTTTCCTCAGCCTTCATTTCTGATACTGTTGATCTCGTGGCATTAAATCCGAGTTTTCGTCTTACAAAATGCCACGGGATCTCGGCCGTTTTCCCCAACCCACTCAGCCAACATTTTAGCTAAAATGAAAATAAAGGTATATCCCTTATTGTCACCAGTTGCTGAGATGACCAAGGTCATGTGGATGTATCTACCTGAATGACTAAGTAAATGTTTCTCTTTCTGTTCCCTCTTGTTTGTTTTATTCTTGTCTTGTTTCCCTACTTATTGTAACCATGCTTTCTTAATCATAAATCATATACCATTAGCAAGTGGCAGATCCAAGACTCAGGTGTCATGTGTCGAGGCCCCCTCCCCCCGTCATCCTCTTTCCCTCCTGTCCCGCTGGGCTCCCTGGATGAGGAGCCGATACGGGGGCAGTCCCAGGGGCAGAGGTCCTGGCACCCAGGTCTGTCCCCTCTCATTCAGCCAGAACACCTTTACATCTGTCTGTTTTACCAACCGGCAGTTTAAAAAAATTTTGTTTAATGATTTTCTGTCATAAAACGAGTTTGGAAAACCCCCAGTTTGGGATTGCCTCATTTTCTAAAAATGTTTTTCATCTCTTTCATTTCTTAGAAACCCAGAACTCGGTGACAGCGGCAGTCAGAAGGGCTGGTGGTTTCCGAGCTGGTTTAACAATGGGTAAGGCTGTGAGCCTGAGGTCTGTGTCCCCACCCGCTGGACACGTGAGAGTCCAGATGGGTCCATGTTCATGGCCTTCCTGTGCGCTCATTTCTCCGGCTCACTGGAATCACACAAGGAATCTATTTCATGGTTCGAACCAAAACGTGAAAGGTTTTTTTGTTTTCATTTAAACAAAAAATGAGTGGGGCTTGGGCTGAAGTGGAGATTGCAAGAAAGATTGTCATAAGATAAAATGTTTTTGCCCTGGCTGGTTTGGCTCAGCGGTTAGGGCGTCGGCCCGTGGACCAGAGAGTTCCGGGTTTGGTTCCCGCTAAGGGCACGTACCTCGGTTGCAGTTTGTCCCCGGCCCTGGTTGGGGTCATGTGGGTGGCAGCCACTTGATGTATCTCTCTCACATCGATGTTTCTCTCTCTCTCTTTCTCCCTCTCTCCTTCCTGCTCTATCTGAAGATAAATGCAAAAATGTCCTCAAGTGAGGATAAAAAATAAATACATAAATAAGATAAAATGTTCTTATGATAACTGTTTTATCAAGACCCCACCCCCACCCCCCAAAGTAACCTGAGGCCTGGGGGGGTCATTAAATTGCAAAGACTAGTACTGCGCTTTTACCCCCAAAGCGTGTCTCTACGAAAGACCGTTCAGTGCCCTGAACCTGGTCCAGCCAGTCGCGGCCGCAGGTGTTCCGGGCCACAGGTGTTCCCGGCCACAGGTGTTCCCGCCCGCAGATGTTCCCGCCGCCAAATGCGTTTTCACTGCCCGGACACCACGGAGCACCTCCTTGCCTCACTCAGCTTGCTGTCCCTCTGTCCGCAGGACCCACAGTTACCAAGAGGAAGAAGACGTAGACAGAGACAAGGAGGACAGCGAAGAAGAGCTCCTGCTGTCGGACTGGTTTACCCCCGAGTAAGAGAGCGCGTTGCCCACGTGCAGCGGATCGGTGGTTCGGCAGGAGGGGCGGGCTGTGTAGGCAGCGGTGCCACCGAGAGCGTCCCTAAGCGGGACACAGAGCCTTGGCCCTGTTAGACCTTTAGCGGCAGGTTAGATGAGAGACTGAGAGTCTGGGTGTTTTGACTCAAATGCTGGAGCGATAGATAACTTGGTGACTCTGATAGTAGTCGGTCAGTGGCAGCTGGTGAATCACAAAATTCTCAGCTGGAAAGGGTCTTAGAGGCCACCTCCTGTTAGAAACCACAGGATGATAAGTCAGAGCAAGAAAATTCTGAGACTCAGTTAACTCATCTGTAAAATGGCAACAATGATACCAAATCTCAGGGCCACACATTCAGCAAACATACGACAAATGTTTAGCAAACACCTGCGATTGGCTAGCTGGTGATTTTCAAACTACTGGTCACTATCCATTAATGTGTTCAGATACTAGCTTAATGGGTCAACACCAGCTTTTTAAAAATATTGACATTAAATAGACAATCAGAGGGTATCATGTGAAGTGAGGATAAGTGTCGTTTAGCAGAACTTTTGTTTGTGTGTGTGTGTGTTTGGGTGTGACATAAATGTATTTCTCACGATGAATCATGGTCAAAATTTCCATACTAGACATTGTGTGAGGCACAGGAGACAGAAGAATTCAGTCAGTACGGGTACATACAAGACGTCCACAGTCTTACAGTGGCACTAGACGTGCAACCAGTGTTTGTCAAGGTTGGTAAGGAGGTGTAAGAATCTGACTTAGGAGGATGTGGTTTGGGGAGGAAGGAGGCGGGTGCTCTCCAGGATGACCACGAGGCCTGAGAGACTGCCGGGGCGGGGGTGGGGGCCACTGACCCGGACAGGGCCTGAAGGAGGAGACACGGGTCTAGGAGTAGGGGGAGGTGATGAGCTCAATTAGAGATGTATGTGGATTCAGGTACTTGGGGGACATCTGGACAGAGATTCGCAGGGTGCCTGTCTTAATCTGGGCTGCTACAACAAAACACCATAGGCTGGATGGCTTGTAAACAGCAAGAAATTTGTTTCTCGTAGTTCTGGAGATTGGCAAGGCCAAGACCGAGGCACAAGCAAATTCGGTGTCTGGTGAGGACCCCCTTCCTAGTGTACACACAGCCGTCTTCTCACTGTGGAAGGGGTGAGGGAGCTCTCTGGGGTCTTTCTGATAAGAACACTAACCCCATGCATTAGGGCTCCACCCTCATGACCTAGTCACTCCCAAAGGCCCTACCACCAAATACCCCGACAATGGAGATTAGGTTTTAACATAGATTGGGGGGCACAAGCAGTGTGTCCCATCTGTAAGCAGTGTGCCCGAGCTTGGCAGAAGATACATGGTGGAGACGGAGGATGAGGAGCCGTCGGAATACAGTGGCAGTGGGATCTGTAAGCCTGGAGGAGGCTACTCGGGCAGAGGGATAGAGCCGAGTTCTGCCTGACGTCGGCATTTAAAGGGCTGGTGGAGGAAGGGAAGTCTGAGGACCAGCTAGAGAGGTGGCAGGAGGGTGGGAGACCATAGCATCTGTATTCAGTGCGAGGGGTCTTGGTCTCTGGAGAGACTGACTCTGTTCTGGCAAGTTCTTTTATTGTGTTGGGTTACTGCAGCGGTTCTCAACCTGTGGGTCGCGACCCCTTTGGGGGTCGAACAACCCTTTCATAGGGGTCGCCTAAGACATAACAGTAGCAAAATTACAGTTAGGAAGTAGCAACGAAAATAATATTATGGTTGGGGGTCACCACAACATGAGGACCTGTATTGAAGGGTTGTCGGGTGGGGAAGGTTGAGAACCACTGCCCTTAGGTGTGTGTGTGGTGGGTGGAGGGGTTAAAACCTCCCAAGGAGCAAGCTAAGTGAGCCAGAGATGGTCACCAGGCTCCCTGCTAAGGAGGGTGACACATCTGACTGTGACACTCGCGCTTTGCTGAGCGGGACTTGGTGGTGGGTCGAGGCTGAATTACTGAGGGCAGAGAGCAGGGACAGATGACAGCCACCAGCTGTCACTATCCGCACTCTCCCCCATGCATGGCTTAGCTTCTCTCTAAAGGAATGTCCAGCCGACATCTAAAGAATATTGGTTTGAAGTGACGCCAAATTGAAGCCTTCACAGGACACCAGAGTGTATTTCTCGGGCGAATGAATGATTAGACAAACAACTGAAGAAACACATAAGTATATATATAAATGTATCCTATTCTGTAAACTACCTAAAACACATCACAGTATATTGTGTACACATTTCCACATCAAGCTCTCTCAGCTTCTTTGACACTAGAGCCCTGTAATTTTCCTCCTAGTTCTCCTCTCCGTTCTCAGTCTCCTTGACAGGGGCTTCTCCCTCTTCCCAGCCGTCAGAGATCAGAGCTCCTGGAGGTGAAGTCCAGTATCCTCATCTTTCTTCTTTAGACACCGTCTTCCAATGTGCTGTCATCGTTTCCAGGGCATCAGATGCCGTCTGTGTAAGAACGACTCTCACATTTACACCTTTGGTCCCAAGGTTTTCTGAGCCCTGACATGGGTCTATGCACCTGCTGGATGTCTCTGCTGGTCTCACGTGCTCCCAGCCACCCTTGTTCTTATTTCCCATCTCAAGCCCGTCTGGGACACCTCTCTGATTCAACCTTCTCCTCAGTCTAATTCATTAACGTGTTCTGCTAATTCTTCCTCCAAAATGCTTCCCACATCATCTTCACGGCCACTCCCCTTGTCCCTGTCGCCACAGGCCCTGCCGGACCACTCTCCGGCGGCTGCTCAGAGAGAGCTCAGTAAACAGTGTGTTGTATGCAGGCCACATCTTTGTTGACCTGCACAACTCATGGAATTTTAACACTTCCTCCACCTAACCCTTGGGCAGATAACACAGTGTTCCCATAAATAAGTACATAAAATGAAAAAGCTACTAATACCCTAAGCAGGCGTGGGTCTTGGCTCTGGAGGACCGTTTATTTGTGGGAAGCCTTTGGCCTGTCCTGGTGGAACCGCACGAGCCAACGCTGCACAGGTGCCCTGCTTGGAAGGACTGGGGGCAGCTCCCCTTCAGAGCCCCGTCTCTGACCTTGAACATCTCTGGCAGTTGATCGTGGCAAAGGCTAGCTCTTGCACATGTGTGGCCTGCCCTCTGTCACTTCTTATTTTGGCTGGAGAGGGGGGAGGTTTATAGGTTTTGATGACTAAGATACCTTAATACAGAGGTTTATCCAGGAAGCTGATCTCATCCTCTGTCCCCTCCCCTCCCCCCCCCGACACACACACACACACACACACACACACACACACACACACTGCCTGGCTTCAGGGTTGCTGACGTGTTGAAGTTGCCAGTGGAATTTAATAGTTAACAGCCGGAAAATAGAACATTTTAATGTTTAATTAAACATTCTTTTTTTTTTCTTTATTGACTTGAAAGAGTAAGGGCAAGAGGGAGAGAGAGACAGAAACATCGATGAGAGAGAACATCGATTGGCCGCCTCCTGCATGCCCCCCACTGGGGATGGAGCCCACAACCTGAGCAGGTGCCCTGACCAGAAAATGAACTGGTGACCTCTTGGTGCATGGGTCGACACTCAACCACTGAGCCACACTGGCCGGGCTAAACATTACTTTTTTTTTATCCTCACCCAAGGACACTTTTGCATTCATTCATCTTCAGATAGAGCGAGAGGGAGAGATAGATAAACATGAATGTGAGAGAGACACATCGACTAGTCGCCACCCATAAGACCCCAACCGGGGCTGGGGACAAACTGCAACCGAGGTACGTGCCCTTAGCGGGAACCGAACCCGGGTCTCTCTGGTCCGCGGGCTGACGCTCTAACCGCTGAGCCAAACCGGCCGGGGCCAAACATTACTTTTTAATAGTGATATTTTGTTTCTGCTCAAAGGAATTTTCCCAGCCAAATAATCAAACCTAACTTTGTTTTTCTGACTCAGTCTTTCCGGAAATTGTAGACTGAGGGTCCCGCGGCGGAGGGGTGTGCAGCAGGCTGACCACCTGTCGGCACTGGGAGGTTCGCGAGGAGGAGGAGGCGGGGGGGGGGGGGTGCTTTCCTCACTTCTCTGATCGCCCTGCTCAGCTCTGGGCCCGGCAAGGAGCAGGGGACTTCCAAAGTGTACGTCAAGAAATTGAGTGCCCTGCTCTGGCCCTTCCTATAAACTAAATGGCTAAAGACAAAAAGTTCCTTTCTCCTGTCCTACTCCCACATTATTTGCAAATGAGGGTGACAGTAGCATCACTATGATTATAAGGTGTTTGTGAGGATTCAATGAGACAAAGAAAGTCAAGTACTTAGCCCCCGTGCACCCTAAGTGTTCGGTATTCCCGCTCCCCTCCTCTTTCCTTTCCTTTCTAAGAAATAGCATTACCTGCTCACCAGATATCCCGCTCCTACAAAGCAGCATGACTTAGCAGCCTGGGTCAGAACCATCCAAAGGGCCTTGACAGGCTGAAACTGAGGACTGCAACGAGCGAGATGACAATACATGGGAGAGTTTAAGTTCAGAACTGTCAGTTATGCAGCTCGAAGCCCTGTGCATGTGTGCATGTGTGCGTGTGCATGTGCATGCGTGTGTGTGTTTTGAAATCCAGTCATTCAACAAAGCTGGGGGTTTTATGTGACTAAAAGCATCACATAAACTTCTAAAACAGCGGTTCTCAACCTGTGGGTCGTGACCCCTTTGGGGGTCAAATGACCCTGTCACAGGGGTCGCTAAGACCATCGGAAAACACATACTTCCGATGGGCTTAGGATCCGAGACGCGGCTCCTCTGTCCGTCTCCAGGCGGGTCCGCCCACATGCAGGGACGCCCGCACCACACGAGGACCTGTGTTAAAGGGTCGCGCATTAGGAAGGTTGAGAACCACTGCTCTAGAAACAAAGGGGGGAAAGCTCACTTCTCATTCTGCAGTGATACAACTCCTGCAGTAGCTGAGTTGAGTGGAAATGACAGACCTGGGCTTTAACCCCAGCTTCATCAGCTCAGTAAGCAAATGTCCATATAAGAAGTGATGCCCTGGCTGGTTTGGCTCAGCAGTTAGAGCGTCAGCCCGCAGACCAGAGAGACCCGGGTTCGGTTCCCGCTAAGGGCAGCACCTCGGTTGCGGTTTGTCCCCGGCCCCGGTTGGGGTTGTGTGGGTGGCAACCACTCGATGTGCCTCTCTCACATCCATGTTTCTCTCTCTCTCTTCCTTCCTCTCTCCCTCCCACTCTATCTGAAGTAAATGCAAAAAAATATCCTCGGGTGAGGATTAAAAAAAAAAAAAAGTGATAAGGGTGGTGGCTCAGAGCACAGACTCCAGAACTAGCCTGTCTGGGTTCAAATCCCAGCTTTGCCCCTTACTAGCTGTGTGACTAGCTATTGAGCCTCTCTGCTAGTTTCCTCATTGATCAAATGAGACTCAAAATAGCATCCACCTCGGAAGGCTGAAGCCCTTGCAGGTGCCTGGCTCCACAGAAGTGCTCCGTGTGTCAGTTACTGTCATCAGCAGCCAGCTGTGTGGCCTTGGACAGGTTACCAAGCCTTTCTGAGCCTCGATGTTCTTACCTATCCAGTGAACATAAAACAGCAGGCCTGTTGCAGGGGCCAGGAGAGAAAGGGCACGTGAAGGTTCCTGGCACCGGTTGGTGCAGAATCCAATATAGCTTCTTTCACGACCGCAGGAGCTGGCCGCCGTGTGGCCGGCACATCCGGGTGTGAGGGCAGAGCTGAGTCTCAGTTTGAGAGTCCAGACAAGATGGGGAGGCTCAGGAGAGAAGCCTGAGAGGTCCCCCCATCTCTGGAGGCGATTCCAGCTGTGCAGGGGGGCCGGGGGAGAAGGAGGCAGGGCACAGGGGTGGGTGGGACAGCAGGGTTGGCCCCAGAGTTAGAATGCGGAGCAAGGTGACAGGGACAGGAGGTGTGAGGACCAGTCTGCGCGTCTCTCACTCAGGCTGGGATGAGGTGGGGTTGGCCCAGCCTGGCCCAGCCTCAGGAGAAATTGGGCTGCGCTGATGGGGTAAGGGCAGTTCTGTGAAAATCTGCCTTCCACCCGCATGTGATGGGAGGGAGAGTGCTCATGGGCCTGGTCTTCGTGTTGTGTGCCAGCAGGGACCTGACTGTGGGGACCACCAGGACTTTGCCCCAACACTGGCCTTCTCCCCGAAATGAAGTACAAGCAGTGTCTAGCAGGCGCCAGGCCTGTGCACACTTGGGTTTACATCGAAATGACTGTGCTTCAGTCTCCACTTCCCAGTGGGAAATGCTGCCACTTCCTGGCAAAAGGGGGTCAGAGCCGAGTCCCCACCACCCACCCAGGGCTGCGTCCGCCCGCGCACTGGGCCCCAGCCGGCACTTCCTCCGCCTCTCTGCCTCTGCTCGGCAGTGTGGCTTCCTGTGCTTGCGCTGGCTTCCCCAAGTCCAGGGTTCCGAGCGCACAGGACGTGCTTCCCCCACGCTCTGCTCCTAGTCCAGAGGGGAGGGTCTGTGCCAGGGTGTTCCAGCCTCGGCTGTGGGGGCCTCTGCTGAGCCCCTTCTTCTCTGGGGGCACTCGGTCTCCTTGTTTGTAAATAAGTGATAACACCAGAATCCCCGGCCTGGGGCCCTGTTTGGCCTATCATCAGGTTCCTACTCAAATCCTTTTCGGGTAAAAGGCACATTGAAACTGTTTTCTCTCTTTCAGCTCAGTGTCCCTCCCTCATCCCCTTGTGTCAAGGATCAGACCTTCTTAGGTCCAGATGGTACCCAGAGATGCCACTGGCGGCTTACGAAAGGGCAGGGGAGACAGGAAAGGGAATTAGGAGGAAGAAGAGAACAAGGGAAGAGGGTATGAGATACGCGAGTAGAATCCCCATCGAGGCCCCCCGGGCAGCCCTCAGAAGCACCTGGGCCTCCTGTCCCACACCTGGAGGACGCTGCCCCTGAAATGACCCAGCCAAGTGTTTGGCATTGAGCCACCATCAGGATTCGGGGACAGTGACCACAGACCCTAGCTGACCCCAGGTCTTCTGCCGTCTCTGCCTCACCTTAGCCAAGCCATGCCCGCTCACAGGGCTCTGTGTTTTGTCACTAGGAAACGGCCAGAGGTGGTGACAGTGACGGAATGGAAGGCGCCGGTGGTGTGGGAAGGCACTTTCAACAGAGCCATCCTAGAAAATTACTATGGCAAACAGAAAATTACCGTGGGTTTGACGGTTTTTGCTATTGGAAGGTAGGTGTCATTATTAAAAGTGACCTTGACTACTTCTTGTTCCGACTGTCAAAATGGTTGTGGTGAATCCCCCTGGGCCTGCCGAGGCTGTTGTGACTTGTCTGAATGATCAGAGAGGAGAATGTTATAACGGGACTGTCTCAGTCCCATTTCTGCTGAGGCCCCCGAAAAATGAGGACGAAGCAACAGCCGGCGAGTGGACTCCTTCCCACCTCAAAGTGAGAGTCCCAGGTGGCAGGTCAAAATGTCTCCTACACCCACGGGGCCCTGGTCTTCGTGGCTTTCTCCGGAAATTCCAAAAACGCCAGCGGTTATCACATCCTTCTTCCTCCTCTGCTCTCAAGACCCAGGGCCAAGGACAGAGGACTGACGGCAAGATCTGGGTCCAGAGTGACCTGAGCGTGGTGGTTTTCCTCACCAGAGCCTGGCTGACCACTCTTCCATGGGTTCCTCGGCTCCCCCGACCCCAGCCCTCCTGGGAGACTTAGGCCCCGCGACTTGGCTGGCCAGAGCTTCCTCTTCCAGAGGTTGGATAGGTTCCTCTTTCAGATTCCATTTCTTTGTTTAGAATGTTTCTCCCCAAAATGCAATCATTCTTACTTGAAATCGGTAGCTTGTAATACCTGTTTTAAAATATAACCCATTTCACTCTTTTGGAGAATTTTTTTCCCCAAAACAAAAGCAGAAGTTCAACTTTCCCATCCTTCCCCTGCCCTCCCCAATGCCCTGCCCCCGCCCCGTGGCCTTTTTATCTTTTCTGAAAGCCATGTGGAAAGTTGACCCCTCTGCCTTGTACGAAGAGGGTTGAAGGCCAGGTTGATTAGGCTTGAGCTCTGCCCACCATGGAGCTTAAAGGAGAGCTCTGTGCAGACCTGAGAGTTCTCCTAAGTCCTCCAACCGCGGCTCTGGAGCCATTGCCAGCATCATACCGATTAAGTCCTAATGTCACTGACTGTGCTGATCCCAGGGACCTAGGTAGCATCGCTAACAGAAAAGGGCAATTCTGGAGTTCTGACATCTTTACTAGAAGAATCTGTATTGCGATGAGTCGGGAGCCAGGCCTCTCAGCTCACCTAACCCTTTGGCATGAGAGGGGACAAGCCAGCCACGGTGAAGGTTGGCTTGATACTGTGTTTCCAAAAGGAACAGAACGTTGTCCACGATCCCACAGGGACTTCAGTCAACAGTGTGTCAACAAAAGAAACATCCAAACCTATGAAGAATTTTTATAGCATTTAAAAAAAATTTTTTTTTCTTTATTGATTTTTTTTTAGAGATAGGAAGGGGGGAAGAGAGAGAGAGAGAGAAACATCGATGAGAGAGAACATCGATTGGCCGCCTCCTGCCTGCCCCCCACTGGGGATCGGGCCCACAACCTGGGCATGTGCCTTGACCAGGAATCGAACTGGCAACCTCTTGGTGCGTGGGTCGACGCTCAACCACTGAGCCACACCGGCCGGGCACATTTTTATAGGGTTTTATTTGATCCAAACTGATGACAGTTGCCAAGAAGCAAGACCTTCACGTGCTCTGGAGAAGGACAGTTCGCAGTTTCTTTAATGCACTGGAAGTTAAGGAGGGAGCATCAGGAAGATTACATGATGGTGGAGAAAGCAAGGTACAGGATGGCTAACAAGATTATGTGCTCTCTGGAGGGTGGTCCTCTTATTTCAAAGGTGTGTTAACCTAGGTGCACGGAAACGATTGATAGGGCTTGCTTACGTCAAAAATAAACCTTTTAACAAAAACAAATCAATAAAAATTTTTAAAAATCACACACAAAAAGTAAATAAAATAAACTTTTTATTAAAGAAGTTATATGCCCGGGGCGTGGCTACCCACCATGATCTATCCAATTAGGAATTCATGACCAGATCACCTGTTTACATTCTGCAGAGCCCCTTTTTTTGTTCACAGTTGCAACCCTGCAGAACTCAAGGGTCAGAGGCCTATCCGGGTGAAAGCCCTGTGCTCTCACTCTGAGGCAGGAGAGGACTGTGTTCATCAGTAAATCCCCACAAGAGTGGACTTGAACTTTCAGGAGTTGTGATGTTTGGTTTATTTTCAAATAACAGTGCAACCTCAGTGCTTCAATCTCTAAACAGCGTTAAACCACCCAATCACTCACTTCCTCCCCGCAGGATCATCTCCCAGCTTCAGGGTACTATAAATTTTTCTTAAAGGTGCAAAACACCAAAGAATGTCCTGGCTAGCAGCCACAGAGCCATGTCGAAGTCCTTCTTTATACTGCTCGGATATATGTTCTCCATTTAAAGACTCAATACCGTAAACCCCTAGCTTTCCAGAGGCCACCATTAAAAACACACTTTAATTTGGTAGTAAAGAAAGGATCCAAGCAGCAACCAACGTGAAAAATGCCAGTTATTATTACTCACAAGACATCATGAATGGCTGGTGGGTACTGTGATCAGCCCATTAAATTCAGTCCACGTTCCCTGAGCGTGCGTCCAGGGTTTGCAAGAGTTGGATTAAGCCATCTTTCTCCTTCCTCTTTTCTCTGATCACCATGGCTTCACAAGAGAGTGTGTAGCTTGGGTTACAAAAGACAACATGATGTATTTTGAATGAATAGACAATATCTAAAATACCACTACACACCTAGTGGAATGGCCAAAATCCAAAACACACCACCAAATGCTGGGAATTAACAGGAACTCTCATCCATTGCTTGTGGGACTGCAAAATGGTACAGCTACGATGGAAGACAGTTTGGCAGATTCCTAACAAAATTAAGCATACCTTTACCATGCAGCCCAACAACTGTGTCCCTCGGTATTTACCCAAAGGAGCTGAAAATTTATGTCCACATAAAAACCTGCACACAAAGGTTTACGGCAGCTTTATTCATAACTGCCAACAGCTGGGAGCAGCCAAGATGTCCTTCAGCAGGTGAATGGATAAATAAACTGGTACATCCCGGCAGGGGAATGTTATCAGTATTATCAATATTCTAAACAGAAATGAGCTCCCAAGCCATGAACAGACACAGAGGAACCTTAAATGCATATATTAAGTGAGAAACCAATCTGAAAAGGCTGCATCCTGTATGATTCCATACTGTATGACATTCTGGAAAAGGCAAAACTGGTGACAGTAAAAAAGTCAGTAGTGGCCAGGAGTTGGGGTGGGGGAATGGATGAATAGGTGGAACACAGGATTTGGGGGGTGATGAAAATATTCTGTATTATAATATCATATATAATGATAGATACATGTGTTCAAACCCAAGAATGGACCTGGGGTAATAATGATATGTCAAAGCAGATACATCAGTTATGCCATGTGTACCATCCTGGTGCTGGATGTTTTGAGTGGAGAAGAATGTGGGAGGGAATGGGGATCAGGGGATTATAAGGGAACTCTCTGTGCTTTTGGCTTAATTTTTCTGTGAACCTAAAAATGTTGTAAAAAATAAAGACTCTTAAAAAAAAAAAAAAAAAAGATAGTTAAGATAAGGCCAGATCAGAGGTTGTTTGCTTTGGTATTTGGATGGATCTTACAGTGGCGGTGTCTGGACAGTGGATTGGGGTTTTGGATGACCAGTGGTAGGCTCACAGGGTGGGTATGTAATATGGAAGGATGTCCATAGCTGTTAACCCACTCTGGGTCCCAGAGTGGCAATGGTTAGACTTAATGCATCCCCATAGGACCCAAGGGTCACATCACAGTTACATCTGTAGGGTAGTAGCAATATTGGGGTATATATACTGGGGTTTTTGAGGGAGGCTCAAAATGTTAGTTAATGCCTCCTGATATTAGTTAAAGAGTATAAACTTCCAGTTATAAGAGGAGTAAGTCCTGGGGATTTAATGTACAGCACAGTGACTATAGTTAACAATACAGTATTATATATACTTGAAAGTTGCTAAGAAAGTAGGTGTTAAATATTCTCACCACAAAAAAATGGTAATTATGTGACGTGATGGAGGTGTTGGCTAATACTAAGGTGGTAATCACTTTGCAATATATGAGTGTATCAAATCAACACTTTGTTCACCTTAAACTTACACAGTGTTATATGTCATTTATATTCCAATAAAGCTGGGGAGAAAAAAAGAACATGCACCCCCTTTGCCCAGAGTCTGAACCAAGACAAAGAGCTCAATAAGGCAGATGACAGTGACTATGATCTTCATTACAGTTGAAGCTGGTGTTAGAGAATGTGGCTTATACCTTCAGGCCCTAGGCCTCCCAACATTGAACCACAGAAGTAGAAAGAGGCTCCCAGACAACTATAGCACTAGAGACTTCAGGCCTCTGGACATGGGAGTGGGGCCTGTACCACTAAATGTCCTGTAAGGGCCAAAGCACACATACTAACTGGTCAGCTTCCAAGAGCGAGAGGAGAGGAAGGGGCAGGGCTGTTCATGGCCCATGGCCTTTCCAAAACTGACAGCCAGGTACGTCACCCCACCTCCCCAAGGCTGAGTGACTGAACAGTGGAGAACAGTCAGGGACATTACAGTAACAGACTTACGTGAAAACATACGTCTGGGATGAGGAAAAACATTTCTCTCTTAAACTTCAAAATACAAAAAAAAAAAAAAAAAGATTAGAATAGTACTTGGTCTCCTGCAGAGTCCCAGAGGTTACATTTATCCCGTTCTTCTTTGTTTCAGATACATTGAGCATTACTTGGAGGAGTTCTTAACATCTGCTAATAGGCACTTCATGGTTGGCCACAAAGTCATATTTTACATCATGATGGATGATGTCTCCAGGCTGCCTTTGATAGAGCTGGGTCCTCTGCGTTCCTTCAAAGTGTTTGAGGTCAAGCCTGAGAAGAGGTGGCAGGACATCAGCATGATGCGCATGAAGACCATTGGGGAGCACATTGTGGCCCACATCCAGTACGAGGTCGACTTCCTCTTCTGCATGGATGTGGACCAAGTCTTCCAAGACACCTTTGGGGTGGAGACCCTCGGCCAGTCAGTGGCTCAGCTACAGGCCTGGTGGTACAAGGCAGATCCTCTTGACTTTACCTACGAGAGGCGGAAGGAATCTGCAGCATTCATTCCGTATGGCCTGGGGGATTTTTATTATCATGCAGCTATTTTTGGAGGAACACCCATCCAGGTCCTAAACATTACCCAGGAGTGCTTCAAGGGAATCCTCCAGGACAAGAAAAATGACATAGAAGCTGAGTGGCATGATGAAAGCCACCTAAACAAGTATTTCCTTCTCAACAAACCCACTAAAATCTTATCCCCAGAATACTGCTGGGATTATCACATAGGCCTGCCTTCAGATATTAAGACTGTCAAGGTGTCCTGGCAGACAAAAGAATATAATTTGGTCAGAAATAATATCTGACGCTCAATTGTGCCAGTAGGTTTCTGAATTTGAGAGAGTATTCTGGCTACTTTCTCAGAAAAGTAACACTTAATTTTAACTTTAAAAAAATACTAACAAAACACCAACCCAGCAACTACATTCTATTCCTCCTTATAACTTTGAGCCTTGTATTATGGGAGAATGAACCTCTGGTATAATCAGATATAAATTCCCAATGATTTCCTCTCTATTCTGGGTTTGGGGGAGATACTATCTGAACTAAAAAAAAAAAAATTAAAATTAATTTTTAAAAAGTCACAGGCCAAACACAAAAACAAAGCCAGAAACACTGCACGGGCCAAATACCGTGCCGGAGGAACGGGCGCCGCCTGAGGCCACACGGTGCTGAGCGGCAGGAGACCTCGTCGTGAGCACGCCATCTGCTTGGTGGTCCTCGTGGTTTCAGTAGCGACTGTTTCAGGCCTTGGAGTGCCCGTCCTTTTCTCAGGACGGTGTTGGGCATCTGTGCACAAGACTGGTCGAGATTCCCGGTGGATATCACGATGGTGAATGTTTGCAGTCACAGAGAATCTGAAGAAGTGAAAACAAATCCTCAAAGTGAATTTGCCGTGAAATAGCAAAGAGAAGGGGCTGACCGTGGTCACAGGCCACAGGACCTGGGTTGGTACTAAATACAGCATGGATCCAGGGGCTGAATGGGAGGGAGACGGTATGCATAGTCTCCAGCCTCCTTGATCCCCATAGCACAGGGAACTTGAGTGGAAGGTGATTCTTGTTTTTCCCAAGTCACATTCCGTGCGCCAGATTCTGCAACTTGTGTCTTCAGATCCTTGGCCAGAAGTGGATGATGTCAGAGAAGACAAAGGCCCACAGTGGATTGAAGAGGCTTGCAAGGAGTTACACTTTCCAGACCTGGGCTTCCCGTCAGTCAGTCCTCAGCAAGCCCCGCTGCCACCTGCTCTAACAGACCGCAGGGGCCCTCAGCCTACTGTGCCCTGCTTGGAGGACTAACATCAGGAGTGGGTTGGAAGAGGAGCCCTCTCATCAAACAACCTCATTTTCCCCTGCCCCATCTGCACTCCTGAGGTGTAACAACTAGATGCATTTAATGAAATGGTTAATTGATTTTATATCAGAAGCAGAGGGTATAGCAATGGGAGACCCAGTCCTCATGACTGAACAGCTTTACATTCAGTTTCCTTCTCTAAGAGAAGTTATGAAATCCTACATATTATTTAAAGTTAAGCAATTCAATGTAAAGGAAGTTAGGAGGCAACATTTACATATTTATGTTTTGCTTACGCCCCAGTTAAAGTAATTTGCTTCCATTTAGAAGTGATTTATCTGGAGAACCATTGCACTGGCTTCATGATCAGCACAGTGGTCTTCTCTGGTGAAATGAAACCTGCATCTTCTCTACCATTGCACTGTGCCTCCTACTCTTCACTTCTACCCAAAAACATATCAGTACCCAGCAAAACAAGAAAACTAACAAAAATCCTGAAGGAGTGGACTTTGTAAAAAAAAAGATCACACATCCTTTAGGACTCTTGCTTCTCTGTAACTCAAGTTTTCTGGAGTTGGCAAAGTTAATGATATAAATCCTGAACCAAAGAAATGATTTGTACTTAAAGATTAAAGGGTTAATGTTTGTGTTTGAGGAAATCTTGATTTTTAAAAAAATTTATTTACATTTCAATCCCAGGTAAATGGACAAACTCAAGATCTCATGAATATTCTTAAATATTTTTTAAAAAGAAATTCCTGATTTACAATTAAATAAATTATTTTCTTAGTATATTCTGGTCTGGTCATGGATTGTGCATTTCCTCCCAAAGATGCTCAGAATTGTCCATTGTAGAATTTTAAATTCTTAGACTTCAAAAAGTCCTCATGTACTTCTAAAAATATGTCTGCTATTACAAAGATAGAAAGAACATGGTTGAGGTTTGCAGACTTGAAAAACAAACGCACATAGAGCTTTCTAAAGTGACAGGAAATGATTAACTGTCAGTGGAAAACCCAGTAGGAAACAGCTTGTCCCTGAAGCCTGAGGTGGGGCTTCAGGGCAAAGGGAGGGAACAATGCCTCAACTCTGTCTGGGTTTATTAGTCCTGACCTCTGGGGAACATATCTGATCAAGGAAGCCTGGAAAAAGGAAGGATTTCCAGCAGTCTGGGCACATGTATTTGTAAGATTAAAAGTGATCAGGCTGAGGGAGTATGGCACACCGGATATACAACAGGGCATGATGCCCTCATAGCAGAAAAGTATTCTTTTACAGATGAGCAGGTGAGGTTCAAGAAGGTTAAGCCGTCCAGCTGGGAAGTGCTGAGCTGAAGCTGAAACCAGAGAACCTGACAAGGATAAATGTATTGACACCATACATACATGGAGGACCATGTTTCATATCGAGGAAAATGCAACTTTGTAGAGGAATTTTATACAGGGGAATCTTTGCCATAAGAATATGTTTCCTGCCTGTACTGTTTTCCACCTTTTTATGTGCTAAACCTGCCGCAAATGCATTAAATTAGTTAAAATGGATCACGTAACAAAAATAAAAGACTGTGAGATCATTCTTCTCGTTACATGGTGCATGCAGGGCTGATAAGCTCTTTGGGCACATGAGGTAATGCCTTGGAGGGTGCAGTTGGGCAGAGGGGCAGGTGGAAGGGACAGCCCTGCCTCCTCCCACTCCACCTCTAATCTGGGGGTTGCATGCAGTGGAAGAGAAGCTTCCTAAGGCTAGAAGGATCTGACTTCTCTTCCTTCTTGGAATGACTCATCTTTGACCTCTCCCAGCCAAAGTCACCATGTGATTTATTAATGAGGGAACCACAGCTATGACAACACTTATAGTTACAAGTATTTATTAAATGTAGCTTACGTGAGTTAATAACAGACACAGTAGCGTACACGTGTGAAACATCATATACAGTACAGGACCCAGGAGGGGCATCCCGAGCTTCAGGATCTAACTTGGAGCATAATCTACTGGGTTCAGGGCTGCTGAAGGTTCAGGGCTGCTGAAGGTTAGCGACGCATGAGACACATTTGCTCCATCAGTGTAGAGTAGTGGTTCTCAACCAGGATGATTTTGCACCACCATCACTACCTCTTCTCCCCAGCCTTGCTGTGACCCCAGGGATACTTGGCAATGCCTGAAGATACTGTTGGTTGTCACAACTTGGGGATGGGGCTACTCACATCTAGTGGGTAAAGGCCAGGGATGCTGCTAAACATCCTAAAATGCACAGGAAAGCCCCCTCAATGAGAAAAGTCTGGCTCAAAATGTCATGAGGTTGAGGAACCCTGGTGTAAAATTCCCTTGAACTTCATTAAGAAAGAAACAAGGGAGCGCTAATATGCATAATACCCACCTGTCTGTACCCTGAGACTAGTCCTTGATGAACATCAAAAGCTTGGAACTCAGTCCTGTAAAATTCATAGCTAAGACAAAAGAATAGAGCAGTTTCCTGTACTAGACACTGGAGGGCAGGAATTTCCAAAGATAACATTGTTCTAAGCAACTACAGTGATTTAAAAGATTTATTATTTTCTTGATCTAGTGGAGACTGCCCATTTGTAGAAATAGATATAACTTTTACATATAAATGAAAATAGCTATAAATATTTAAAGTATGGGGGTGAGCCTGGCCGGTGTGGTTCAGTGGTTGAGCATTGACCCATAAACCAAGAGGTCACCAGTTAGATTCCCAGTCAGGGCACATGCCCAGGTTGTGGGCCAAATCCCCAGTGGGGGACATGCAGGAGGTGGCCAACCAATATTCTCTCTCATTGATGTTTCTATCTCTCCCTCTCCCTCTCCCTTCCTCTCTCTCTCAAATCAGTAAAGAAAAAAAAAAAAGTATGAGGGTGAAAAATCAGCCAAAGTTGCAACACACTTTAAGTGATTGTAACTGTTAAGAATACAAGGTGGTTATGCTAGCTTGGTATTTTAGTCGAGGATATTTTGGTTGCAAGGAACAGACATCCCCTTGAGCTGTCTAAACCTGAAAGAGATTATCGAGAGGCTACTGGAGAGTTCCACTGAATACAAGGCAGTTGACAATCAGGCAGTGGTGTGCTGAAGTGGTTCATGTCCTGCTATAGGGACATGTTGTACGTAATACTTCCCAGCTCCCTGTTCAGTGACTTCACTGTGGTAGCTTGGTATCAGCCATGGCGGGAGCATTTACACCATGGGAATCAGCAACCGTTAAAAATTGGGTCTCCTTTTCCTTTCCTTCTCATCTTGCTTTTTAGGCATTAGTTGTGTGAAATTTTAGTTGTGCACATCACTACAACCAGCCCATGAGCAGCTGGCAGGGAAGTTCCAGGGCTTCAAGAGCAGAAAATTATGAACTTCCCTTGGAGGTCTGCCAATACAACCCAGCTCCACTAGCTCCAGACTCAGGACTTCTTTCTTCAAAACTCCTGGCAAAGAAAACCCAAATGGCACAGCATCCACTCATGTTTCCAGCAGCTGTGCCATGGGGTAGGTTTACTGGAAGGTGGAGTATACTATGGGGCAGTTTCTCAGACAAGAACCTATTGTCATGATCTGGGTAGATGCCTCTAAAACGGTCTACCACATTCCACTTAGAGCTGTCTATCAATGGTTTCTTCCCACATATGTAAAATACGCCCTGCTACCATAATCCAAAAACAGTACGCAGTACTCTAGCACAGCCCTCTCTCCTGATAGCAGACCATAGAATTCGTGAGTAATGCCACAGAACCAGGCTTCTCAGAGTCTACTATCTCCAGATAGTAACTATTTCTCCTTTGGTTCCTTAGACAGCCCATCTGACTATTCTGAAATCCGTAAAATAAATATTAAATTCAGCTCACACCCAAACACTATAAAGTCAATAGTGAGAGACAAGGAAGGAAGAGAAGAAAATATTTTAGTAACTCCTATTTAAAAGAAAATGATGGTTATCTGCTCAATAGGCATGTCCTTGCTCTGGAATTCAGTGGGCCTCTACTTGAGTTTTCTGTCAGGGCTAGCCAAGGTCTTCATCCATTGTCACAGGCTACTTCAGACCCTTTGAACTATGTAAGATATAACTGGGCATGAGACATCCACTGGCAGGGCAACTTGCCTGCAACCCAAACCAGCTGGGGAGCTTTCTCTTGTCCAGGGTCCCACTGGAAGCTCATTGTTTTTACAGTTATCAGTCAAATGGGAGACAGCTGGATACCCTCATGGGTGGGACACTGCCTCTAAAATCCAAAGTAGCCCATAGGAGTTATGCCTCTTGCTTAGTTGTAGGAGGCATAAAGCGCTAGTTCTCAAATTTGGCTGCATTCTGGAATTACCTGGAGAGCTAATATTGATATCTGGTTCTGGCCCCAGAGATTCTGACTCATTTGGTATGGGATGGGCCCTGGGACTTTAAAAACCTTCCTAGGTAGGCCCTAGCCTGGTAGCTCAGTTAGTTAGAGCATCATCCCAATACACCAATGTTGTGGATATGATCCCCGGTCAGGGCACATACAATAATCAACCAATGAATACATGAATGGGTGAGGCTGTGGGTCATTGTTTCTCTCTCTTTCTCTCTCTCCCTTCCTCTCTCTCAAAATCAATAAATTTAAAAAGATGGGTTTTTTTTGGGGGGGGGGGACCTCCCCAAGTAAAGAGGATTCTGCGAATATGGTGGAGTAGGAAGCACCAGGAATCTGTCTCCCCACCTAGACAATAATTGCACTGGCAAAATCTGTCTCATGTAACTACTTTGACACTCTGGAGTCTATTGAAACTTGGATGGTAGCCCTGGCTGGTGTGGCTCAGCAGTTAGAGTGTCGGCCCACAGACCAGAGAGTCCCAAGTTCGGTTCCCGCTAAGGGCATGTACCTCAGTTGCAGTTTGTCTCTGACCCCAATTGGGGTTGTGTGGGTGGCAGCCACTCAATGTGTCTCTCTCACATCGATGTTTCTCTCTCTTCTTCCCTCTCTCCCTCCCGCTCTATCTGAAGATAAATGCAAAAATGTCCTCAAGTGAGGATAAAAAAAAAAAAAAGAAGAAAAGAAAAAGAAACTTGGATGGTAAATTAAGGTTAATTTCAGTAAAATTCAACTTCCCACAGTAGCAGCTACCCATTTCCCACTTCCAGCCATCTGGCAGGCAGCTGTGCATATGTTCCTGGACAGCTTGCATGCAGCTTGTGCACACTAGGCTGGGTATAAAGGACCTTGTCCTCCAAATATCAGGAATCTGTGCTGATTGCTGCTTCTGATCACTGAGGTGCGGACAAAGAGGCAGGCAGCCATTGTTGTTGCACCTCCTCCCATTGTCACAATCCCCTTCCCCTCCAGTTAAGGTGACTCCCAGGGAATTTAAAGGGCCAGTGCACTTTCTTTCTCCCTTCATTTTTATCTTTTCCCTCCTTTGGAGCCATATATTAAAGAACAGCACATTAAAAAAACAACTACATACATGGGGAAAATTAGAATGTGACTATGCATGACCAGGGAAAAGCTCTGAAGAGACCTTAGATTACATCTTAGGCACAGAGACAGCTTACAATAACCAAAAAGACAAACAAACAAAATAATGAAAACAAACAAAAAGCAGCTAACCTGGGGAAGGAAGGTAATCTTATTTCCAGAGTTATCACAGTATTAGATTCAAATGCAGAGTTTCAACAACAACAAAAAAACCCACAAGGCATACAAATAAAAAACAGTAAAGTATGACTGATTAAAAGAAAAAAATAAACAGAAACTGTTCTTGGAAATGACCTGATGGCAGATATACTAGACAAAGACTTTAAAACAACAGTCAAAGATGCTCAAAACTATAGGATGATTTGAGAAAAAAGTCAAGAAAATACTGTATAAAGAAAATGGAACTATCAATAGTGAGAAGACCTAAAAAGAAACCAAAAGCATTCTAGAGCTGAAAATGACAATGACTGCAATGAAAAATTCACTAGAGGGGCTTAAAAACAATTTTGAGCAGGCAGAAGAAAGAATCAGTGAATTTGAAGACCAACAATAGAAATTATCAAGTCTGAGGAACAGAAAAAAACATTGGAAAAAAAAAAAAAATGAACAGTGCCTAAGAAACCTATTGGATACCATTAAGTGACTCAAAGGGGCACAAGAAAAGTTAGTGGGGTGGTGGTGATGTTCTATATCTTAAAGTGGTTTTTACATATACTTGTGCTTGTGTAACAAACCCAATAAAGTATACAATTAAACTATGTTTTATTTTATGTAAATTATACTTCATTTAAAAATGTATTATAAAGCTTTAAAAAACCTACAAAAGACTTAAATGATCCTGTTTTGTTTTGTTTTTAATGGGACAAATTCCAATCCCCTGGTCATGACAAAGAGAAGATACAGGCATGTGAATTGTTATGATTGCAACTATCTAGTTCTTTCATCATCAAAAGAGAATCTGATGACATCATCATTCACAGAAGACTGAAATAATAAACACAAAAACTGGAGAGCACCATAGAACCAACAATAGATCATCTGAGTTATGATTTTTGAAAGGTCTCAAAAGTTCCTGCTTGAAAACTGTCTGCCCTCTTAAGATCTCCACATGTCCTTCCAAATCAATGCACCATAAATGTTAAGTCTTCAAGGAAGAAACTGTATAAAATTCCAATGTGATCTTAGGGAAACAAAAGGTAAGAGTTTATCCCTAATTTCAATCAAGTCAGCCATATCCAATTTTTTCTGCACACAGACAATTTTATATTCCATAGATTAAATATTACAAAGGAGTTTTATAAACTTGATGGCTAAAATTTCAAGGTCAATACACAAATGATCTAAAAATTATAGTTTAGCCTCCAGTGAGTACTCAAATACTTCTGAGAAGGAGCACATATTTTATAGTTATCAGTTCTATCAACTATCTAGAAATGATCAACTTCATAAAATTATTTAATTACAAATAATAAGTTCCTTCATAATTATACAACTCTTTAGAGTCCAAATAGGTATTTTCATAATTATCTCTTTTCTCTGACACCCCACCCTGAAGGAGTTAAGAGAGGAAGTGGCATAACTTTTCTGTAGGAAAGGCCCTTTGTACTTTAGAAAAGATGAATGAAGTTTATAAGATATCTTGTATCAAGACCAGACTAGCAAACATCCTAAGACTGTGGGCAGAGAGCTCAAATAAATGGTGTCTCTTCACTGACTTGACTCTATTTTCATATAAAGCAACATCCAATGACCACAAGTGCCTGAAATCCTAGATAAAATCTATTAAGTCATCTAGTTGAAGTCATAGAGAGGCAGGATTCAACACAGCATACTCTGTATATATTATGCTTTATTTAATCTACTTCTATCTGTTTCTTTTTTCTTCCAGTAAAGGATGAAACACAAAAGAAAAAAACTTATGTTGTTATTGCTTTTATTGTCTCTATGGGCCTTGCAAAGAGAGTATAAATTCAGGTAACTTAAAAAAATTAATGAATATTTTAATCTGGTGTTTGGTAAGGATCTGGTTATATCAGAAAGGTTCTAGCTCATCCCCTGAATAAATTAGCATCCAACTGTATCAATCTAAAAATACCCAAATATATCAGCATAAATATAGCCTTCAGCATAAAAGTTCTTTGTTTCTAATGAGATCAAAGCAAAATGTAATTTTTGTTGGCCAATATGTGTGAGGAGAAGCAATATAAAGTTGATAATACAGTTACTGTGTAATTATGGCAATGTAGTGTTAGTATTTAAATATTATCGCAATGCCACCATTTTTAAACAAGTAGCATCTTCTTTAAGAAACATTCTTAATATTGGTACTTCAGGAACTATGCATGGTATTTGCCCTCCACATGTTTGAGACAAGCAGAAAAACTTCATTTCCAATGAGCAAATTTCATTGTTCTAATGATATTAAGTAAGTTTTTCTCATTTTTATCTCAAATAATTAGTTATTTTTTAAGATATAGCATGAGTAATTTTTATCAATCATTTGAAATGATATAGCATATGAGCAGTATTTTCAGTCAAATCACCTCAGTAACTTTTATCATGTCCATTACTATATAGTACAACCAACAATGTACTTGGCACATAGTGTGTGTCTTGGGCCGTCCATTCAGACTGCTATAACAAAATACCATGGCCTGGATGGCTTATGAACAACAGAAATGTATTTCTCACAGTTCTGGAGGCTGGCAAGTCCAAGACAAAGGAGCCAGCAGATCTGGTGTCTGGCGAAGACCTGTCCCTGCTTCACAGACAGCCATCCTCTCGCTGTGTGTTCACATGCTGGACGGGGGGAGGGAGCTCTCTGGGATTTCCTTTAAAAAGGCACTAACCCTATTCAGGAGGGCTCCACCCTCCTGACCTAATCACCCCCCCCAAAAGCCCCACCTCCTAATAAGATCACATTGGGAGTTAGGATTTTAACATATGGATTTGAGGGGGACACAAACATTCTGTCCATAACATTATATGTTCATTAAATATTTGGTAATAATAGGTACAATTAGGTAATAAAATAAATGGACTGACTGAGTATAACTGTAGTCCTCTTAAATGTGAAAACCCTTCATGTAAGTTTAAAAATAATATAATGCTTTTTATTTATCCTAAGCACAAAGAAACTACAGAGGATATATCAGTGTTGGTAAGTATTTATACGCCATGACCTCTTCTCTGAGGACTAAACTGGTTGGGGGCAATGGAGAACCTGCAAGTCCTTGGTTCCTGCAGACAGGGTAAACCAAAGCAGTTATTCAAACACATGTTGTAGACATTAGTTTAAGGTCAGAATACTAGGAGTCAAAGACACAGCAGACTGGCAGAGTGCTGTTTCTGATAGAGGAGTGGGAACTGGTTAGGGGAATGAGTTACAGGAGTCAGAACTCAGCCTGTAAGAACCTTGTGCCTTTTAAAGCTATGTGCAAACACACAGGAACAAAGTCTTGGCTAAAAGATTCTCAGCAGATTGTATTAATCATATGCCACCTACAAAATCATGCCATTAGAACGTGTGCAAAGAGGAAAACTTCCCCAAAGATCACGAAAGATCCAATATCATTATGTGTTCTTCAGTTTCTTCTACAGTCATGGGAACCCACATAGTGAAGTGAAAGCAACTTTCCTTTCTGATACTTGTTGTGTCCAGGGGCCTTGTCTCTCTGATGGTACATTACCCCCACTAAGACCATCACTCCATACTTGGGTGTGCTATGCATGAAATAATATAGTAAGGTTTTCATGTACCAGGCAGAGTATATTTCCCCTATATATAGCCATAACTAGCAAAGGGCAGCAACTTTCAACCACCTGAAAATAGCAGAGAGAAGGAATGGATTAAAATGCTTTCTGGAAAACTGTATTAAATGCAATACAATCTAACGATTATTCTATTATCTAATCAGAATTCTATAGCTTCATCATACTAATACTTATCATTCAAAGGTATCATTGTCAATGGAAGTGGATGCTGGGTAGAAGTCACATCTCATTCACACACCCCTGATGTTGTGGTTACTCTTATCTGTGAACACAGGCACAAAGATCATGTCATGACAATGATTCAGCTCCATAGCTGCCCAATCCCCTCATTGACTTAGCCCAGGGTCAGCTCTCCAAAGGTATCCTAGCCAGTGTTTCAGTAGAGAGAAGCAGAAAGACTTCATTAGTAGGACAAGTAAGGACTCAGGCACAACTGCTTGTCTTTCCACCTACTCTGTGATTATGGACAAGAAAATAAAAACTCTTTGTGCCTTGTTTTGTTATCTAGTAAAATGGGGATGATAATAATAAAAGTACCTATCTCATAGGCATGGATTAAATTAGATAATACTTATAAATTTATTCAATAGGTATTAGCTTTCTTTTTATGGCTCAGTAGTTTCTTTAATATTTTTAATTTTTCTATTACAGTTGGTATATTAGCTATTAATGAGAGGCATATAACCTCATCTAGCATATAAGGAAACATTTCCTTTAAGAAGGGATATTTAAAATGAGACTTGAAGGCCATATGGGAATCAGTGGGTTGAATTTGTGCAGAGCTAGGCAGGAGATATAACTGAAACAGTGTGAAGGGTGAGATCATGTAGAATATTATGGCTATATAAGGATGAGGACATGATCCTTGGACAACGGGAAGCCATTGAACTCTGTTAAACAGAATAGTGATATGGCAACACTGGATCATGGCGCTGGAAGCAGAATGGGAATATGGAGAACACGTTGAAAAGGGCATTGCAAGGATAGGCTAAGAGGGTAACACATTGCTCATTGTGGGGGAAGGGAATATGGAAGTTCATTATATTAGTTTCTTCACATTTGTGTACCTTTGAAATTTTCATACTAAAAAGGCTTTTAAAAAATTGAACAGTGAGAACAATTAGGAGGCTACTGCAGTAGCCCAGGCAAAAGATGATGGTGACTTGAAGTCATGTGGTGGCAGGAAATGGAGATAAGGGTGGATTTGAGAGGTGTTTTGGAGGTAAAACCAGCAGCATTTAAGAATGGATTTGATGTTGGGACTTAGGGAGTGCTCTGAGCACAGAATGACTCATATTTCTGCCTTGCATTCCAAGTGGATCCAGGAAGGTAAGGCAACATATGAAGAGGACCTACTTTGGGGAAGAGATGATGACCGTAACATCTTCATTTTGTGGTGTTTGTGTAAACTTTAAGTAGAAGACTTCAGAACACAGTTGGATATACGAGTCTTACATTCCTGGGAGAAGTCTAGTTAGTTATACATAAAAATCTGAAGCCACAGGAAAATGCCCAGGAGAAACCCTTCTGAGAATAATCATCAAATCAAGGCTTCTGAGCAGAGAGGATATTTAGACAGAAAGTAGGAATATATTTCCACTGTGATAGGAGAAAATATTCAGTACTATAGGTACATTTGAATGCGAGTGGCATAAAGTTGAGGAAGTTTTCATTTGATGGCTATTTTCTCTGTGAATTAGAAGAAGAATGAGAACTATAGAAACAAAGATTTCTGCGCAGCACACAGAGTTAAGTTGAGGTTGACAATCATGATTTTTCCATGCCACTACCATCAAAGCTTATCACTCTTTTTCTTACTGCTTCACGCTCATTTTGCATTCTACACCTTACTGTAATACAGCCTATGATTTGATAGACACTCAGTTATCTCAAACTCTAATAAGATCCACTGTGACTTCTTTGCATTATTTTTCTTGATAGGTCTGGGAATAATCAACCAGAATTAAAGCTCTCAGACTGGTTTTCTCCCAGGTAAGAGGGCCAAATCTGCCATGTGCGATTAATCCACAGATTGCTCAATAGAAGTTAACAGATGGCAACAATACCACGGCTGGCATTCCGAATGTAGGCGAGCAGGTGGATCTTTGATTCCATTTTTAAAAGTAAGCAGTGGCCAAGACCCCCTGGGACATTAGGAGCCACATCCTCCATGAATAAGTGTGTAGAAAACAAAAATTTAAAGGACCTAGAATGATAGTAGGTCAAAAGTGTAAGGGTGTATTTGAGACCATTTGGTCGATTCTCCTTGTTTCACCAATGAGAGACCAAAGCCCAAATGTGCTTCAGTTTAGTACAACAGCTTTCCTTCGGGCTCTCCGCCTCCTTCTTCTCATTCTACCCATCCATCTTTCTCTCTGCTGCTACAGGATTTAAGGACTTCACCTAAATAAAATTCAAAAGGACACATCCATGTAAGATTATTGGACCATGGTTCACAATATCTTCCCATAATATCATAACATTTGTCAGATCTAATCAGGACACAGAAAGCACACCAATTATTTAAACAGAGAATCTGACATAAAGAATTGTTACCTAGTATAAAGTTGTTAACTAGGAAACTGGGAAGACTGAAAAGAGAATTCTGAGGTGTTATGGAGGGAGCAACAAGAGGAAGTAACTATTTCTCCTAGGGCTGAAGAAGCAAAAGGAAGAGGCTGGGATTATTAAACCTTCACAATGTAGAGAAGCTCCAGGTGCTTAAACACCAAAGCCTCGCGTCTGGTGTCTCTGAGCTCTAGGGAAGCCTCTTGGGGCAGGGAACCAGACCGCAACGAAGCACGGTGAGACTGATTTTGCAAGTGTTAGAAAAACTGAAAGCTGGACTAAACTGCTGCTTTGAAAGGGAACTGCTACTGCTGTGGTGAAGACGTATTGCTGGAGTGGGACTTGCAGGAACAAGACACAGACAAGAAGCCCACAGGTAACAGGAACCAGCAAGCTCCTTCTTCCCTCAACCTTGTCATTATCCTCCTTCTAATATATGGAAACATACATGATTTTTTCATGTTGATCTTGTATCATGAAATTTGATTAGTTCTTAAAGATTTTTTTTTTTTTTTTGGTAGATTTCTTAGAATTTTCTCTGCTAGTAGAGATAGTTTTACTTCTTCCTTTCCAATTTGAATGCCTATTATCACTTTCTTGCCTAATTTCTCTGGCTAACCTTCCAGTACAATGTTAAGTGGAAGTAGATAAAACAGATATTCTTGTTCTTTTTCCTGATTTTAGAGGGAAAGCTTTCAGTCTCTCCTCCGGACCACAGGCCGACGCTCTAACCGCTGAGCCAAACCGGCCAGGGCGAGTCTCTAACAATAAGTATGATGTCAGCTGTGGATTTTACATAGATGCCTTTTATCACGTTGAGGAAGTTCCCTTTCATTCCTAATTCTGGGGGAATTTTTATCATGAAAAAGTGTGGGTTTTTGTCAAATGCCCTTTCTGTGTTAAGATAATCATGTGTTTTTTTTCTTTCATTTTCTTAATATGGTATTTTACACCGATTAATATTTGTATGTTAAACTAGTCTTGCATTCCTGAAATAAATCCCACTTGGTCATGGCAGGATTTTAATATGTTGCTCAATTCAGTTTGCTAACATTATGTTGAGGACTTTTGCATATACATTCATAATGGAGATTGGTCTATAGTTTTCTTTTCTTGAATGTCTAATGCTGGCCTCATAGACTGTCTTAGAAAGTGTTCCCTCTTCTAGTTATTTAGAAAACTTACAGAATAATTGCTGTTAATTCTTTTTTTTTTTTTTTTTTTCATCCTCACCCGAGGACATTTTTCCATTTTTTCTGTTCAGGTAGAGTGGGAGGGGGAGAGAGGAACAGAGAGAGAGAGAGAGAGAGAGAAACATGAAAGGGACACATCTAGTGGCCACCACCCGCACGACCAACCAGGGCCGGGGACAAACCGCAACGGAGGTACGTGCCCCTAGCGGGAACCGAATCTGGGTCTCCCTGGACCACAGGTTGATGCTCCAACTAAACCAAACTGGCCAGGGCAGCTGTTAATTCTTTAAATGATTGGTTGAATTTGTCAGTGAAGCCATCTGGTCCTGGCTTTTCTTTGTTGGGTGATTTTTGATTACCAATTCAATCTCTTTACTTGTTATAATCTATTAAGACTTTTTATTTCTTCTTGAACCAGTTTCTGTAATTTGTGTATTTTTAGGAATTTGTCCATTTCATCTAGGTTATCTTATATGTTGGTGTATAGTATATTGGTTGTTTATTATATTTTCTTATAATCCTTTTTGTACCTGTAAGGTTTATAGTAATGTCCTCACTTCTATTCCTGATTTAAATAATTTAAGTCATCTTTGTTTTGTCTTAGCCCATCTAGTTGAAGGTTTGTCAATTTTGTTGATCCTCTCAAAGAACCATCTTCTGGTTTCACTCATTCTATCATTTTCCTTTCTCTATGTCAGTTGTCTCTGCTCCAGTCTTTTTTTTCTTCCTTCTGCTTATTTTGGGTTTGATTTGTTCCTTTTCTTTCTAGTTCCTTAAGGTGGAAAGTTAGGTTACTGACATGAAATATTTCATTCTTTTTAATATAAGAGTTTACAGCTATACATTTCCTTCTGAGTACTGCTTTTCACTGCATCTCATAACTTTTAGTAGGTTGTATTTTTATTTTTATTCATCTCAATGTATTTTCTAATTTCCTTTGTGATATATTTCTTTTTTGACCTATTGGTTGTTTAAGAGTATTGTTTAATTTGAGGATTTTTCAGATTTACTTCTGCTATTGAGCTCTAATTCCAATCCATTGTCAGGGGAAAGAGAGTTTGTATATTTCCAATCTTTTTAAGTTCATTAATATTTGTTTTATGGCCTAACATATGATCCTGGAGAATGTTGCGTGTGTATTTGAGAAGACTACATATTCTGTTGTTAATTAAAGTGTCCTGTGTATGTCTGATTCTTTCTTCTGCTTGATCAAATCTGCTGTTGAAATCCTATAATGAGGTTTTTTTCATTTCAGCTATTATACTTCTCAGCTCCAGAAATTCTATTTGGTTCCTTTCTATAATTTCTGTCTCTTTATTGATACTCTGTATTTGTTGAAACAGTATTCTTTTGGTTTCCTTTAGTTCTTTGTTCATAGTTTCCTTTGGTTCTTTTAGCATATTTAAAACAGTTGATTTAGAGTCTTTGTCTAGTAAGCCCAATGTCGAGACTTCCCCAGGGACAGTTTTTTGGTATTTTTTCCTTTGAGTGGGCCATACATTCTTGTTTCTTTGCATGCCTCATAATTTTTGGTTGAAAACTAAACATTTTGAATATTATGATGTGCTCACTCTGGAAACCAGATTTTTTTTGCTTCTCAGAGTTTGTTCTTGCTTGCTGTGGGTTGTGTTTGTCTGTGTAGTGACTTTTCTAAACAAAAATTTTAAAGACTTTTTTCTTTGTCTTGTTCAGTCTCAGAGGTCTCTGTTCCTTTAGCTTGTGGTCATATAATGGTTTCACAGATATTTCCATAAGTGCCTAGAGCTGGGGCGGGAGGGATATTGGAGGACAGAAGAAGAAAGAGAAGAAAAAGGAGGAGGAGGAGAAAAAGAAGAAGGAGGAGAAAAGTACAGAAAAGAAAGCTAAGGAAAGAAGAAAAAATGCTCACAGTCTTTGAAGACTGGCTCTCTATTTGGACCCTCCTTCAGCACAGCAGAGCTACTTACAACTCTACCTTAGTCTTCACTTCCTGCTTGCACTGAGCATGAATATCAGCAAGAGATGAAATGACTGGGTCTTCGACAGATCTTTTCTGAGCATGCATCATGCCCTTAACATATGCATGGATTTCTCAATTCCATGTCATACACAGGATCTTGTCAAAGTCCTTACTTTCCATAGAACTCCTTTGCAAACTTTCCCTCCTAAGCTTTAAGCATACCTAGTTTTAATTACAAACCAAACTCTTTTGCCCCAGGTAGCAGAGGTTTCACTTAAGAAAAAAAGTTCTTCTTGATTATTTGAAAGCAAGGACCAGAGGGGGAGAGAGAAACATGCCCTGATTGTGAATCGAACCCATTACCTTTCGGTGCACGGATGACCTCAACCAACTGAGCCACACCAGCCAGGGCAGGGGTTTGTTCCTTTTTCAAATGTTTTCAAGGGCCCTGGCTGGTGTTGCTCAGTGGTTAGAGCATCAGCCCGCAGACCAGAGAGTCCTGGGTTTGGTTCCGCTAAGGGCACGTACCTTGGTTACAGTTTGTCCCTGGCTCCGGTTGGGGTCATGTGGGTGGCAACCAGTCGATGTGTCTCTCTCACGCCGATGTTTCTCTCTCTCTCTTCCTCCCCCTCTCTCTTCAGCTCTATCTAAAGATAAATGCAAAAGTGTCCTCAGGTGAGGATAAAAAATAAAAATAAAAAATAAATTAAAAAATAAATGTTTTCAAGGGCCCTGGCTAGTTTGGCTCAGCAATTAGAGCATTAGCCCACGGACCAATGAGTTGTGGGTTCAGTTCTGCTCAAGGGCATGTACCAGTTGTGGTTCATCCCAGCCCTGGGCAGGGTCGGATGGGAGGCAACCAGTCGATGTGTCTCTCTCACACTGATCATTCTCTCTCTTCCTCCCTCTCTCCCTCCCTTCTACTCTATCTGAAGATAAATGGAAAAATATCCTCGGGTGAGGATAGAAATAAATAAATAAGTAAATAAAATAAAGTAAAATGTTTTCAAGGAACACCCTCCACTCAGCCATTTTTCCATTCTGAGAGAGTTCTGAATTAAGTGAAACAGTCAGTCCTTCAGAAAACTCTCAAAACAGACAAACACAATTCCTTGGGAATTAGATCCACTCTTCTCCTAGAGGGATTTGGTGCAAGGCTATGTTTAAAAAAAAAATTTTTTTTTTTAACACCACAAAGCTTTCCTACTCCTACCATATTGAGTCATCTTTTTTTTCTTTTTAATTCTCACCCAAGGATATTTTTCCATTTATCTTCAGATGGGGGTGGATCATCAACGTGAGAGAGACACATTGACTTGTTGCCTCCCACAAGACCCCAACCAGGGCTGAGGACCGAACCCAAACCGAGGTACGTGCCCTTGACCAGAATCAGATCCAAGACTCTTTGGTCCACGGGCCCACACACTATCCTCTGAGCCAAACCAGCCAGGGCGAGTCATCTTTCTCTTGATTTAACTTCTGCTTGGTTGCTCTAAACCTTTGGCTATCTTTCAGAGTTCTGACAAAGTGGATTCTGGCAGTACACAGTAACATTAGCACTGAAAAAATGTGAGATTATGAAAACTGGGCAGTTTTGGTTTTCAAAATACGGTTTCTGAAAATAATCAATGTCAAAAAACATAGGACCAAGAGATTTTGTCCAAATATAAGAGAACCTGTTACTTTAGACTTTGGGCGACGTTTCAACTTGTGTCCTCAAAGATCTTGGAATCACAGTATAACTAATCTGTAAGTGTACTTTTGCAATGATCTGGTCATTTCTGACAAGCTGTTTCCCCAGTTTATCATAACCATCAAGGGTTAGGATTGCTGCAGACACAGATTTATGCCTAAGTACGTGATATTCACTGCAACTTTAAGCTATTTTGTTCATAATTCTTATGTCTTTCTTACAGAGCACCCACAAATGTAACTAACAACTGGCTAGCTCCAGTTGTGTGGCATGGCACTTACAAAGAAAACGTGTTGGAAAAGTATTATGCAAATCATAAAATTACTGTGGGGCTGACTGTGTTTGCTGTGGGAAGGTAGGTAACACTAAATGTCCTTTGTGTTCAGGCTTTTCATTGTAGAAAATGAGAAATTATCAATAACAACACCTCAAGAATCTAGAAAAAGTAGAGCCAAATAAAGCCAAAGCAAATAGAAGCCAGGAAATAATAAAGATTAGAAATCCATGACATTGAAAACAGAAAAGCAATAGAGAAAAACAAATAAATGAAACAAAAAGCTGGTTCTTTGAAAAACAATAAAATTCACAATCATCCAGGAAGTTTGGCAAAAAAAAAAAAAAAATGCCACAAATTACAAATATCAGGAAAGAAACAGAGTATATTACCCCCGACCTTCAGATATCAAAAGGATCATCAGGGAATACTACAAAACTCTCTACATACATACATTTGATAACTTAGATAAAATGGACCCTGAAAACTACAAACTAACATAACTCACCCAACATGAAATAGACCATTTGAATCCCCCTACAGCTACTGAGGAAATAGAATTTATAATTTTAATATGCTTTATTGATTTTTTAGAGAAAGAGGAAGGGAGAGAGAGATAAAACATCCATATGAGAGAGAATAAGCCGCCTCCTGCACACCCCCATAGGGGATCAAGCCTGCAACCTGGGCATGTGCCCTGACTAGGAATCAAACCAGGACCTCTCAGTCCATGGGACAATGCTCACCTCACTGAACCACACCAGCCAGGCTAGAATTTATAATTTTTAAAACTCCCAATGTCTCCAGGCCCAGATGGTTTCATTGGAGAATTCTACCAAATATTTAAAGAATTAACCTCAGCCCTGGCCGGTTTGGCTCAGCAGTTGGAGCATCAGCCTGCGGACCAGAGAGTCCCGGGTTCGGTTCCCGCTAGGGGCACGCACCAAAAAAAAAAAAAAAGAATTAACATCAATTCTATACAATCTCTTCCAAAAAGTAGAAGAGGAGTAAACACTTCCCAATTCATTTTGTGAAGCAAGTGCTGCCCTGATAGCAAAATCATACCAAAAAAAAAAAAAAAGAAAAAGTATTAAGTAAAGTTGAACAATGTATCTATTACCCATTAAAATGATAAAGTTTATAGTAACTTGTTATTAAATATTGATAGAAATTTGTTCTTTATAAAGAAAAAATACAGACAGAAAGAGGAAGGGAGGGAGGGAAGGAGAGAGGGAGAGAAGGAGGAAGGGAGAAAGAAAGGAAGGAAGGAAAGAGGGAAGGAAGATCTGTAGGGAAAGACTTCTTTACATGATGCTGCAGAAAGCTGATGTTACCATGGTAAAATTGAAATTGTAACTCATGTCTATAGCATGCCATATACAAGCATATACAAACATCAAATTGCACGTAGCTTAAAGACCAAAAGTTAAAAAAAAAAAACTATACTTTTATCTTCATGAACTCAGGATAGAAAAAGATTTCTTGCCCTGGCCAATTTGGCTCAGCAGTTAGAGCGTTGGCCTGTGGTGCAGAGAGACCCGGGTTCAGTTCCCACTAAGGGCATGTACCACGGTTGCAGTTTGTCCCCCGCCCTGGTTGGGTTGTGCAGGTGGCAGCCACTTGATGTGTCCCCTTCACATCGATGTTTCTTTCTCTCTCTCTCTCTCCAGCCCCCCCCCCCTCCCTCACTCTATCTGAACAAAAAATGGAAAAATGTCCTCCGGTGAGGATAAAAAAAAAAAAAAAGATTTCTTAAACAAGACACAGAAAATATTAATCATAAAGAAAAAGGCTGATAAGTGTGACTGTTTTAAAATTAACTTTAAGAAATCATCGGAAAAACCCAAGTTGAGGGCCAGTCTACAAAATACCTCATCAGGACTCTTCAAAATGGCCATTGTCAGGAACTAGGAGAGAAACTGACAGATTACAGGAGACCTGGGAGGCCTAAGTACTAAATGCAATGTGTGTCCTGGATTGGATCCTGGAAACTAAAAAGGCCATTAGAGGAAAACTGATGAAATCCAATAGATCTGTGGTTTGTGACAAATGTACCATGGTTTTATAAAACATTAACTTTAGGGGAAGGTAGTAGGTACGTGTATATGGGAGCTTTCTGTAATATATTTGCAACTTTTTAGTAAATCTAATAACACTCCAAAACAGAAAGTTTTTTAAAATTGAAAAAGTTTTTCATTGTAGTGTAAGTGCCTGACCATCAGTTTTTCTTGTTGTTGTTGTTTTATTGTAAATGCCTGACATTAAGCGTTTTGTTGCCTAGAAATCCATTTCAGAAACCCATCTTAAACAAACACATTGCCAGCTGTCACTTGGTTACTAGTTAAACACCTAGGTATAAAGAGCCAGCTTCCCCATCCATGAGATTTCCCTTTTAGAAAGCACTAGGGAATCGTGGTAACAGACTGCTTGAGTAACCTGGCTTTTTCCTTCCCACACTTTAATTCCTGCTCTTATGTTTTAAATTCATGAGTAAAGAGTAAATTTGTGAAACCCTAGGTGCATCTTGCAATCATAATAACCACAAGCGCTGGGCCAGCCACACTGTTGCTAGGGAAATGTCTGTGGGTGTCTCACCACAAGTAGTAGGGGCCCCAGTGAGTGGCTCCAGGCATTCCTAGCCTATACCATCACAATCAATAGGCTGAGACTGAAATAAAACAACCCTATGTCATACCACACTTAAAATTAATTCAATGGATAAGAGGCTTAAATATGAATGATAAAACTACTCAAAGAAAATGTAGGAGATTTTCACTACCTTGAGGAGGCAAAGATTTCAGAAACATGATACAAAAGCACTAACCATAAAAGAAATGTGAATAAATTAGACTTCTTTGGATTTGAGTTGCTAGCTTCCAATATGTCATTCTTTTCATTACTGTATAATGGTCCATCGTATACATATATATACCACATCTTCTTTATGCATTCATCTATTGATGGACACTTAGGCTTGGCTATTGTAAATAATGCTACAGTGAACATGGGTGCATATATCTCTTCCAATTAGTGTCTTTGTTTTCTTTGGATAAGTGCCCAAAACTTAGTTTTTTAAATAACTTATCTTTAATGTTGAATGTATTACAGATGTTCCTCCTTTTGCCCCTATTTGACCCCCACCTCCCCATTCTCGCCCCCCTCCTGCCTTTCCCCACACTGTTGTCTGTGTCCATTGGTTATGCATATGTGCATATAAGTTCTTTGGTTTATTTCTTCCCACCCCCATCCCCCTTCTCTTTGAGGTTTGTCAGTCTAACAACCAAGTTGTACTTCTTAATCCCTTCACCTTTTCCACCCATCCTCCTAACCCCCTTCCCATCTGGAAACCAACAAAATGTTCTCTGTATCTATGAGAATGTCTCTGTTCTGCCTGTTCATTTTGTTTGTAGATTTAATTGTTGATAGATATGTATTTATTGCCATTTTGTTTGTTCAAAATTTTTTTTTTTATCCTCACCTGAGGACATTTTTCCATTTTTTGTTCAGATAGAGTGGGAGGGAGAGAGAGGAAGAGAGAGAGAGAGAGAAACATCGACGTGAAAGGGACACATAGAGTGGCTGCCACCCGCATGACCAACCAGGGCCAGGGACAAACTGCAACCGAGGTACGAGCTCTTAGTGGGAACTGAACCCGGGTCTCTCTGGACCGCAGGCTGATGCTCTAACCGCTGAGCCAAACCGACCAGGGCTGTTCAAATTTTTTATCTTCTTTTTCTTCAAGAAGACCCTTCAACATTTCATGTAATACTAGTTTGGTGGTGATGAACTCCTTTAGCTTTTTCTTGTCTGGGAAACTATATGTCCATCAATTCTAAATGATAGCTTTGCAGGATGGAGTAATCTTGGTTGTAGGTTCTTGCTTTTCATCACTCTGAATATTTCTTGCCACTCCCTTCTGGCCTGCAAAGTTTCTTTTGAGAAATCAGCTGACAGTCTATGGGAGCTCCCTTGTAAGTAACTAACTGCTTTTTTCTTGTTGCGTTTAAGATTCTCTCTTTGTCTTGAACCTTTTGCATTTTGATGATGATGTGTCTTGGTGTGGGCCTCTTGGGGTTCATCTTGTTTGGGGCTCTCTCTGCTCCCTGGACTTGTATGTCTGTTTCCTTCACCAAGTTAGGGAATTTTTCTGTCATTATTATTTCGAATAGGTTTTCAATTTTTTGTTCTCGCTCTTCTCCTTCTGACACCTCCATGATGTGAATGTTGGCACGCTTGAATTTGTCCCAGAGGCTCCTTACACTATCCTCATTTTTTTGGATTCTTTTTTCTTTTTGTTGTTCTGATTGGATGTTTTTTGCTTGTTTATATTCCAAATCGATGGTTTGCTTCTTGGTTTTACCTACTCTAATATTGAATCTCTGTCAATTATTCTTTATTTCAGTTAGTGTCTCCTTCATTTCTGACTGATCCTTTTTTATGCTCTTGAGGCCCTCACTAAGTTCATTGACGTTCGAGCATCCTTATAAGCAGTGTTTTGAACTCAGCATCTTGTTAGATTGCTTATCTCTATTTCAGTTCGCTCTTTTCCTGAAGTTTTGTTCTGTTCTTTCATTTGGGACATGTTTCTTTGTCTCCTCATTTTGGCTGCTTCCCTGTGTTTGTTTCTATGTATAAGGTAGAGTTGCTATGTCTCATGGGTTTACTAGGATGGCCTATTATAGTAGGTGTCCTCTAGGGTCCAGTGGCACAGCCTTCCTGGTCTCCCAGCTGGGCCCTCGAGGTGCACCCCTTGTGTGGACTTTATACCCTTCTGTTGTAATTGAGACTTTGATTGCTCTTGGCACATCAATGAGAGGGTTTTACTCAGGCTGATCAGCTGCAAGAACTGACTGTGCCCACTGACCACCAACCTCTGACTACCTTGAATGATCAGTTGTGCAGGGGCCCACCATACAGAGCAAGACTTACTTCAGCAGGGCTCTGGTACCCACTGAGTCCATTTCTTGAGTGTGTCACTTGTGGAGGTGATTGGGTGGTAATGCTTCACAGTGTTCTGAAGCTGTCCACTGGGTGTGCTGGCTCTGGGGCAAGGTCAGCCACTGCCTGTGTTCTACCTGGGGCCACCAGGCATAAGCTACAAAGTGATCTGTAGATGGCTGCTTCTTGTGCTGGACTTGGAGGTGCCCAGGCAAAGCCAAGTTGTGAACCACAGCTGGCTGCTTCTAGTGCTAGGCCTGGGGCCACTTAAGGAGAGGTATGGGGCTGAGATCAGAAGCTGCTTGTTTGAGAGAATTTAGGAAAATCTGAAGCAGGATCCAAGATAGGGCATTCCTATGGTAAAGCCATTGGAAACAGCTTGGGTGGGCCCGAAAGTTGGGTGGGGCTGGGCCTCAGGGAATCTCCAGGGTGGGACAAATAGTGTGAGCCAGGTTGCTGGAGTCCCAGATATGGTGTCCATCTGCCAGCCTTGTGGGGGAAGGGCTCATCAAAGGAACAAAGGCCTCCAACAGCACGTCTGTCCAGGAGAAAGCTGCCTCTCCAGCCCTCGCCCCAATGCCAAACAACTCAGTTCTTCCTTGTGTATCTCTGGTGCCTTTTGAGCTGCCTCTCCAATGCTGGAGTTCAGAGGGAGCAAGTCCAAGTAAGTCCCTGCGGGGGCCCTTTAAGAGGAGCTTCCTGGGGCTCCAGAAGCCTCAGCTTCCCTCAGCCTCAGTTCCTGCTGGCTTTTACAGCCAGAAGTTTTGGGGACTTCTCTTCCTGGCACTGGAACCCTGAGCTGGGGGCCTGCTGTGGGACAGGGAGGACCGTCCCAGCTGAGGTGTCCTCCTGATTTTATCCGCCACACGTGGGCGTGGGGCCAGCCTGTCCGCCTCCGCCCCTCCTACCAGTCTCCATGTGGCTACTTCTTTAATTCCGTAGTTGTAGGACTTCCATTCAGCTTGATTTCAGGTGGTTTTGACTGATGGTTGTTCTGTAGTTTAGTTGTAACTTTGATGTGGTTGTGGGAGGACTCGATACTGCTACGCCACCATCTTGATCAGAATTTCCCAAAACTTAATTTTAATGATTATATAAACATTATTTGAAGCTGAGCCGCATATGATTACCTTTCCTTTTTAAAATTTACCTGAGGCTATTTGTTACTGAGATTCTTTGACTTGAATCTTGAGAGACCGGAAATAAAGTTTATTTTCCAATCCAGTAATACTAAAAGCCACAAAGCAAAATAAGAAAGTCAATGCAGACAGTGGGGTATTAACCTTCCTACCTCTGACCATTTGTACATAAAGTGAGACTACTCCTAAAGCGAGCCACAGACATCAGTAACTGCTCTCACAGTGACCCAAGACCTTTGTCGCCTACAACGTCCAGAGCAAATTCCCTTAGAGCCCTGAGAACTCTGGCTCTCTCTGTGCACCGAGGGCTGTGCTGTTTCTGATCTCGCCAAGTTCTATTCACTCTTGCGAGGAACTTCTCTTCTCTCCTGTGATCCACAGAACCCCATCAGGGAGAGAGAGGAAATTTCACTTTCTTTTATACCGCGTAGATAACATTTTTGGATAAATTGCAGTCAGTGGAATGTAAATAGTGTGTTCCACTAAAATATAAGAAAATGAACATAATTGTTTCTCTTTTACTTCACAGATATATTGATTTCTATTTGTTCAACTTTATAGTATCTGCTAATAAGTATTTTATGGTTGGCCAGAAAGTCATACTTTATGTCCTGACAGATGACTTCTCAAAGGTGCCTTGGATACAGCTGAGTCCCCTCTGGACAATCAAAGTTTTTGAAATCAAGCGAGAGAAGAGATGGCAAGATGTTAGTATGATGCGCATGAAGACCATTAGTGAACATATTGTAGATCACATTCAGTATGAAGTTGACTTCCTCTTCTGCATGGATGTGGATCAAGTCTTCACACAGAAATATGGGTTGGAGACCCTGGGGGAGTCAGTAGCTCAGTTGCATTGTTATTGGTATAACGCACATTCTATAGAGGTACCTTATGAGAGAAATCAGTCATCAGAAGCATATATACCTATTGGTAAGGGAGACTTTTACTACCATGCTGCTGTATTTGGTGGCACTCCCATTCACGTTCTCAACATTACCAAGGAGTGCTTCAAAGGAGTCATGATTGATAAGAAAAATAACATCGAAGCAGTATGGCATGAAGAAAGTCATTTAAACAAGTATTTCTTTCTCCATAAACCCACTAAACTCTTATCTCCAGAATATAACTGGGATGCTCATGCAAAACATACTGGTGAAATTAGAGCTAAAAAAATCCTTTGGGCTCCTAAGTATTATAACATTCTTAGAGCAACACAGAATATTTAAGGCCTTTCTTAACAGTTCTGAATTTAAGAGCATCAATTTATCTTATATCTTAGATAATTAGCACTTGACAAATTTAATACTAAAAAAATCACCAACAAAATGGCAAGTCCACCAACACAGCAAATTCATACTTTCATTTTGAATTGTATAACATGGGATGTAGCAGTTGCAGAAAGAATGTATTGACATCAGATGATGGTATAGCAATTTCATATCCTCTGTGAATGTTGAAGGTGTGTTATTTGCTGGATCACATTGAACAAAATAGAATCTGTCACAAGAAAGTGAAACCTGAAATATTTTCATTGACCCAGGTAGATACACATTTCTCATATCGTGTAAGGAAAGGGATTGTGTAGAGGTGTGGATAAGGGAAAGTCACTATAATTGTACCATATACTCTATGTAAAACTTTGAGGACATTAAAGCTGCTACCAGATGGGCAGGCAGTTACTTAGGAAACTTTGAGTCATTTAAAAAAAAACTACGTGGGGGTTTTTTGTTGTTGTTTTTGTTTTTATACTCACCCAAGAATATTTTTCTATTTATCTTCAGACAGAGTGGGAGGGAGGGAGAGAAAGAGACAAACATTGATGTGAGAGAGACACATTGACTGGTTGCCTCCCACACAATCCTGACCAGGGCCAGGGATGATCCACAACCGAGGCATGTGCCTCTGACCGGAATCGAACCCATGACTCATTAGTCCACAGGCCAAAGCTCTAACTGTTGAGCCAAATCGGCCAGGACAGAACTATGTGTTTTTTGTTTGTTTTTGTTTGTTTGTGTTTGTTTTTGTTTTTGTTTTTAATCCTCACCCAAGGACTTTTTTTTGCATTTATCTTCAGATAGAGAGGGAGGAAGAGACAGGAGAAGAGAGATAGAGACACATGACACACGGATGTGAGAGAGACACGTTGAGTGGTCACCACCCACACGACCCCAACCGAGGTACGTGCCCTTAGAGGGAACCGAACCCAGGACTCTGGTCCACGGGCTGTCTGTCACTCTAACTGCTGAGCCAAACTGGCCAGGGCAGAACTGTGTTTTAAAACTACAAGTTTGTTATAAAAAAAAAAAAAAAAACTAATAAAAATGATATGGAGTGCTGGTTGGTTTGGCTCAGCTGTTAGAGCGTTGTTAGCCCATGGACCAGAGAGTCTCAGGTTCAGTTCCCACTAAGGGCACATACCTCAGTTGCAATTTGTCCCCGGCCCCAGCTGGGGCTGTGTGGGTGGCAACCACTCTATATGTCTCTCTCACATCGACGTTTCTCTCTCTCTTCTCCCATCTCTCCCTCCCACTCTATCTGAAGATAAATGCAAAAGTGTTCTCAGGTGAGGATAAAAAACAAAAATGAAATGGAGAGATAATTGAAAGCCTCCCTTTACTCTCCCTGTGAAAACCTGGCCCTCAATATTCCTTTCAGATGCATTTACATACCTACCACATGAGTATACACACACATGTGCTGCGTGCTTATATATTTTATACATATTGACTAATCACACACATGCACACATACATGCAGGCACACACATTTATTAGTAGTTGAGATCCATTTAGGAAAACAGTACTATTGTAGGTATTCCAAACAGTGGAAATTCAGACGATGAGCTGGACAGAGAGATGATAAAAGAGCTGAGGAGCATACAAGGGAGAGTGAGGCAACCCATACTTTTTTTTTTTTAATTTTTTTCTTTATTGATTAGAGAGAGAGGAAGGGAGAGGTAGAGAGAGATAGAAACATCGATGAGAGAACATCGATTGGCCACCTCCTGCATGCCCCCCACTGAGGATTTGGCCCACAACCTGGGCATGTACCCTGACCGGAAATCAAACCAGCAACCTCTTGGTGCACAGGTCGATGCGCAGCCACTGAGCCACACTGGCCAGGCCCGTACTTTTTTTTTAATGAAGGCGATAGCACTCCTAGGGCTGGAGGAGAAATTGTAAGATGTCCTAAAAGAGCTACCACCTAGCATGAGTCACCTGGCATGGGCTGGGACAACAGAGAGAGGTTTAGTCACTGCTAAAGATGCTACTCAAAGGAGATGAGAGAGAGATAAGTTGGGAGAGAGAGGCTTTTCTTCTTCTATTTTGATCTTTTCTGCCCGTGTTTTTCATTGTCTGCTGCAAGGGAGTCTGGGAAATGTAGGTCTCTGCCACATTGAACAGAATGTGTGGAAAATGGGAAAAACCCGGAGTCAACAAACAAATGGTTGCCACAGTCCACCCATTTTGCCAAAAGCTCCCATTCTCACCCTTCTATTCATATCTAACTCTCATAAAACACGTTCCCCCCTTGCAGAATTCAACTAACTTTTGTACAAATAAAGAATCACTTTAGCCCTGGCCTGTTTGGCTCAGCGATTAGACCGTCAGCCTGCAACCAAAGAGTCTGGGTTTGATTCGAGCCAAGGGCATGTACCTTGGTTGTGGTTCGTCCCCGGCCCCAGTTGGGGTTGTGCGGGTGGCAACCAGTCGAAGTGTCTCTCTCACATAGATGTTTTTCTCTTTCTCTCTCTCTCTCCCCTTCCCACTCTGTCTGAAGATAAATGTAAAAATATCCTCAGGTGAGGATTTAAAACAAACAAACAAAAAGACTCACTTTAGTCCCCCAAAAGTGAAATACAAAGCAGTTTCCCTCACCATGTCCAGGAGCCCCAGATGATATGCAGCCCTCCGCCTCAGCACCGTTCGTGGCTCTGCAGTTTGGTGAACACTGATCTAAATTGAAAAGAACAGAACTAACACTCCTCATTAAAAATAATAAAAAAGTAGGGGAAGGAAGAAGAAAAATCACTGGTTTACATATAAAGATATACACTTATGTGTAACAATGTATATGTATGATGATTATGTTTATATTTGTAATATAAGAAAAATATGCATGCCTGCTGTAGTCCTTATTTCTGTAGCTGGTTCTAAAGTCAAGTTGGTATTGATCACTTTTCTTCCACCACCCATTTCCATGTTGCTTATCCTCTGATAAGAGCTCAGATGAATAGGGTTCTTTACCTAGTGGAGTGACATAAACCTTTTCCTGTGGGATCTGTCTTTAGTGGACCTTTATTTATAGGATCACCAAGGTTTTCCCTTAACAAGGACTGCTGGAGAAGGTACTGTTCAGAGGCTGCCAGAGAACACCCTGAGCTCTAAAGGCAGTACTCATTATACTATTGTGTAGTAGCAACCTATTTTCATCCTGATATTTGTGATCAGTACCGTATTCTAGTGTAGAAACCCCTTCTCTGGCTATTGATTCAGCCTGAGAATGCAAAGCAGTCAGGGGAAGTCTCAGATTCCAATTCAACAGAACCATCACTGTGTTTCCTGGTGGGAACATTCCTTCCTTGTGCGCTAGGACCTCCAGACTCACTAAGTCCAATGTTGCCAGGATGAAATAAAAAATTACTCCAGTGGGTTTTTGGTGTAATTGTAAAAGAGGGCCTCAATCTCTACCTCGTAGGTTCCAGGACCCATGTGTTCTGGCTTTGAGGAAGACAGTATGATATAGTGGCCACTATTTCAAGGCATATCCTACACCTTTAGGACAGAATACCCCCACACCCTAAACTTCACAGAATGTTGTCTTACAGCTGATAGTGTAAGTCTTCAGTAGGCCATTTCATAAAGTTAGCTGCTTCTGGGTCATGAGTTACTTGGTAAGACCAGTGAACTCCATGGACATGAGCCTATAGAAGAACTTACTTGACAATAAAATTGATCTCCTTGTCACAGGCGATGCATAAAGCATTCTACAAATCCACAAGTGGCGGTGCTGGCAGAGTCACTGTGGGGAAAATCAGTAAGTCTATACCCAGAATATATTTGTTTGGGGACAAATTTCTTCCCTTTCCCTGGTGGAAAAGATCCACGGTAACCAATGTGCCACCAGCTGCCAGATGGTCCCTTAGAAGAAAGGTGCGATCTGAGGTACTCAGGGTGGCCTCTGCTGTTGGGTGGTTGGCATTTAGCAGTGGAGAAAGCCAGATCATCACTGATGAGAGGAAGCCTATGTTACTGAGCTCGTGAATAGCCTCCACTCCTGCCACTAAGGCCACTTTGTACGTGGGCCCATGGAGCAAGCACTGTGGGGGCGACAGAAAGAGGCAGACCAACGTCACAGAACAGACGATTGTGTCTACTTGATTACTGAGAGACTCCTATTGAGATCGCTCTTTGGTAAGCATTTTCATGGGATACACATAATCCTTACACTCGGTGCGTATTTCAGAAGCCCACAAAGGATCTCAGACATTCTTTTCACCAATATTCCAATCTTCCCAAGTTCAAGCTCATAGAAATGACTTCCATTTGATCATAGATTGCAGTGGCATATATCCAAGCTTGTAGTTTGTTGGATTAGGTAACACTGTTATTGGTAGGTAGGAGAAGTTGAAACTCTAATAACATTTAGAATCCCATGTCCAGCATTCATTCTCCACCTGAGCTACACAAAATGCTCCATCTAGTAGCTATTTTTGCCACTTAAATCTGCACAGAAACTTGTTCTGCAGTCTGTACCTCATATAGAGCCTTCTCTTGCCCTGCACCTCACTCAAAATTGGCAGGGTTAGCAGTTTCTCATAAATATGCCAGTGTGGCTCACTTAAACACAATACATATGTTGTCTCCAATATCCAGAGTCCCACTGAGATTTATACATCTGATTTGGTGGCAAGTGGTACAAGGTATAGGAACTTGTCTAGAGCAGATAACCCTACATGCTCCTCAGAAATGTCACTGATGTGTCAGGCCCCTGAATTTTTATGGAGGTTTTCTTCCACCTCCTGGCATACATTTGTATTAGAATGACATCTGAGATTCTTGCTCTTTTCTATTCAAAATGTTCAGGATAACGCTAATAGTGATATCCTGTAAAATGTTCAGATGTTGAAGGACCCCGTGGATTTTATTATGAGAATGCAGGAGAGTTCACATAGCTCTGAGCTTTACTGATGTCTCTGCCAGGTGAGAGCAAATGGCTTTTGATA